TAACAAACGGAAAGAATAAGATGGCTCTTGTAACTGATAACAGTAATGAGCAGTGTGTGAGCATTGGGAGGGGAAATGGTAAAAACATGTATTCCAACACGCTAAAAAATATGAAGCATGCGTTGTACAAATCTCCTTGGTTTTATTTGATTTCCCGATATTAGAGAACAGCTTATCAGAAAGTAGTGCAATCTTTAATAAAGGATAGTGGGACAAATACTGTGCAATTCTGAGAAAGAGTATCACATCAACCAGGCTATGCTACCTGAATAAGGACTAGAACGTGGCGAAAAATAACCCCCTTGGTTTAAAGTAACTTTAAGATCAGCACGCATCACAGGAGAAATTTCACTGATATCTCAGAGACCACCGGTTAAGTGATCTCCCAAAATGCCAGTAAACGATGACCATATGTTATGCTGCTAGATTGGCAAACACCCAGGAACCGACCAGCACGGTAGTTCACGGAGTGCCTGAAATAAACGGTGGTTGTTGAGATGGAGCTGACGAATAAAATAAACATTTATGGAGCTTGCTACCACATATAGTAGATTTCACGTCACTACAATAATTATCGTGTTCAGGCTACCTCGTCCGTTACATCTCACGACCATTAAGTCACCCCATCTGATGGGAGTTAACTTTAGAAACCAAAAAGACCTAGCTGGCGCTCTTCGGGAAGACTCTCCAGTCACATCGGTAAGATAGTGGTAGAATGGCCCGATAAAACACATCTCGGTGTCGATAGGTTTTGCCCAGCGACCCACATTACAGAGCAAAGAGACCACAGTCTTGATGATGGAACATGCTATTCAGGTATGGAAATTACAGAAGCCAGTTTGTACGAGACGGGAGGACACACTTTGAGTAACAATTAGCCTGAAAAATCGAAGACTGATAATTCTGTAGAGGAGCACCAGTTGATGAGACAAACCATCACATGCCTTTATGACAATGGAATAGAACTGAGTGTAAAACTGAGAGGACCCATATACATATGCCATCAGTTACATCTGGAGGTCATAGCCCCAACCGAAACATGGTTGCCGCCCGACGTCATGGATGGAGAAGTGAGAGAGGAAGGCACGACAGTTTTCAGATACAATAGGGTACACAAAAGAAAAGGTGACGTGACGCTACACATCGGCAGCAACCACATAGTATCAAATAAACAACAGTGACAGAAGCATGTTGATGTTGTTTCAATTTGAACTCCACAAAGCGCTTGACTAAAGGAGTGTGCGGTCCCCCATAGGTTCTGGCACTCAAACGATGCAGTAATACAGGCGATACGAGAGCTATAGTACCTGGAGTTTGACCAAATACTACTACTGGGAGATTTCAATACTCATTCCCTTTATCTCAGGAAGAAAGGCGCAACCCCTGCAGGTTTCTTCCATAAGCGGCTTCCCATAGCCAATAGAAGTTTGGGACTAACTGAATACGTGTGTAAAACGTAGATATGGAATAGGGACAGAAACCTCTCAAACTTACATCATTTACGGACAAATAATCAGATTATAGTTGAGGATATCCATGTTCACGCACCAGTATGAAGTAGCGACCATGGTACAGCCATGTTTAACGTGGTCACAAACGAGATAGTTCGCAAGGACGGGAATGGTCCCCACCTTAGCTAAACTAGAGGAGATTACACAGTGTTGAGGGAGCATTTTCAACACACCTAAAAGCCATGACAGCGGTGAAGACTAACAGTGGATGACCATATGGAGGAGTGAGGATTATCACGCAAAATGCCACCCAACATAGCGTACTTCAGCGTAATTACACACCAGGAAAGAGAAAAAACTGGGTTAAGAGAGTCAGAGAATGCTTGTTACAGGCCGAACTGAGAGCTTGATAAAAGTGGAAAGTCACCATGAAGAATTCTGACCGTAGCTCTTACTTGACATTGAGAAACAGGTCTACAGCGATAGGTGCTTTTACGGCAACTCAGCAGCTAAAATACAAGCTAACCCCAAATATCTCTACAGATTCATGACTAGGAGGAAGCCTGAAAGCCAAAGGGTCTGTGCTCTTAAAAAGCCAAATCGCAGATATCTTGTTAAATCAGATTCGGCTGGGATCTTTAGTGACAACTTCATAGATCAGTTAAGCCAAGAGCCTGTAATCTCGGGACATCTCTCTGTTGTAACGGGTGGACTGCAGGTTAGATGCGCAGCGTATTTATCGATCGATTCAATGACACGTAAAACACGTAAGGACGACCTAGAGACCCGATTGGCCCTGCTCCGCTGTCTATCCCAGCCAGTTGAGTCCAGAACGCAAGTCATAGCCTCTGAGATATGAGTCATTATCTTTCAGACATACTCTATCTGTATACCAACCAACCAGACCACATCGTACCATACAAATAAAAAACAACATTTGTACAATATTTGACAGGTGAAATGAATATCGACCAATGAAAATGTCCATTTAACGTCCAAGGACATCATTAGACTTAACACGATAATTATTGGTATATTCCTCTGCATCCGTGACACTCTCAACTCCAGTGCCATTTGAGGTTCTGGGAGATATCTAACTACCTTTCAGGTCAGTATTAAAGCGACTAAAATCCCTGCGCTTAAGAAAGCTAGCAAGATGTGACAACGTTCGACCTATAATCCTGAGATAATGCGCGGCGACCGTTATTACGCCAGTGCATGACCTGTCCAGACACTCGCTAGATTCACTTCAACTCCTGTGATAATGGAGGCGCACAACTCTCCCCAATCTTTGAATATGCAGATAGAAAATACCTGTTAATAGCCACACACACTAATCCCGATACGCAGTGGAAGGACTGATCAATGAATAAATGAGGGAATATATGGAACCATAGGATACCGATTCATTTTATATTCCTGAACTTCGCAAAAGTGTTTAACAGTACCTCGTGTACTTCTCATAGTGAAGATTGCGAAGATGGGTTTCACTGATTCACTTATGTTCTGGCTCTGACACGGTCCGCAGAACAAGATGTTTCGTACCAAGATAAATAGAGTTGGAAGATCTCAACACCAAGAGTTTCACGAAAAAACAGTCTTAGCTTCACTTCTAGTCTTGATCTGTATTAACGACCTGTTAGTTAAAATTAGCTAGGCAGCACTGATCTATGTAGATAATGTAGAGATCTGGAGGTCTATAAAAGGTGAAAACGATCCATTCGAACTTCAAGATGACTTTACAGCAAGAGAGAAATAGGCAGTAGATGATGGGTAGAAGCCTAACCTGCTGAAATATCATATCATGAACATTCTTTCACATTCAACACAAATTATTTTCATTCTCCATGGAACTCCGCTTTTAATCGTTTCCTGAGAGTGTGATCTCGCTCTTATAACCGTCTCTCACTACAAAGGAAACGTAGCCAAGACAAATGAAACTGTTCACTTTATGTGAAAACAAGATTGTGTGATCTTCCCGGAGTTGCTCCTCATTCTGTTTAAAATGTACGCACGGTCCCACCTTAAAGTTTACAATGGTGTTCAACCATGAAAAAAGACATAAATCCCTTAGACCAAGTACAGAGACTGGTCATGCAACATATTAACTACTTCAAGCCACAAGCATATTAACGGGACATTATCACTACGCTCCTCAAGGTGACTCTCGAAAGATTGTGAGTCGACAAGCGAACACACAGGTACGCTCTCATTTTTTCTCATTGAGAGTTGCCCTCATTTAGAAAGCTCTTCCAGTCTAAGTGACCAAAGACCCATCAGGTGATAGCTGCGTAGCAAATCAGTAATTTGAAAGTTTTATTTTGGTAACTTGATTGGGAACCATTATGTTCAACAGCACACCGGAAAAACCACTGAATTATCCTGTCATCATGGAAAAGTCTTCAATGTATATCAGTTTGTGTGAATGCACTGCAAACTACCGTTTGTCTATCCTGGCGTGCTACTCAGTTTCTATTAATCAGATTGCAGTCTGGCAACGTGTTCAAGTAAATCGACATTTCATGTGCTTTGTTTTGATTCAAAGTCACTGAAGGCAACCAGGAGAGAGGATTAGTTCTGGGATTAATCCCATAATGTCATTAGTAGACAGGGCAGGTCAGTATTTAACTATGAGACTGATTTGAACAGTACAGGAATTAAATGTAACCCCATGATTAGCGATATAATTCACTGAAAAAATGCCAATTGGCACAGAATCTATCTTCTGTAAACTGCTTCAAACCATACAGAACCTTATAAGGCAGCTTTACTATTTTCTTATGAAATGGAAAATATTTCACTTCAGCATAGATTAAGTGTAGTTTTGTACAAAATGAGAAAACAAATATGAAAATCTTAGACGGCAACCAAGAAGAATAAATCAATCATTTGAATCTTGTTTCACCTATCTCTTCATAAATAACACTAGTAGTAGCAAAGTATTTATATAAGTTATACTATGTTATATTGGTGACAAATTCCCATTTCCTAATCATAGTAGCTTTAATTTTTATTAAACTGAATAAAATTGCATAACTCACTTTACGCAAAAGGCTAATATGAAAAATTTTATTGTTTGGAAATATAAACAAAGTTTATGTACAATAGACACTGAGTATGTGTGTAGAAACAGTTAACAATTTATTGACATATTAGAGGTAATGCGAAGAAAAGTGTTGATGAGAAATGGTCCCTGTCCTATTTTATATTACAATCAGGGCCATATGAAGAAGAAAAAACAATTAGTTGCTCTCATTATGTTTAAAGATCATCATTATCGTATTCGTATTGTAAGCAAATGTCAGTTATTTGTCACTAAAAGATACACATAATCACATTTTTCACGAGCAACAGGGACATTATAATGTATGATTGAATTTAACGTGAAAGTGGCAGGAAACAGCTTAAAATAAGTGACTAAAGATGGAAATTGAAAATTTCAAATTACAAATGATCAGATATTGCCTCCACTGGTGATATTTTGAAGTGAACGTAAGTATCGTTTCCATCAGTATTTTGTAAGCCATTTATCTTGTCAACATAGATTGGTCAATTCTCAGTACCACTAGTACTCTGTACAGACATAGTGTTGAGATGTTTCGTTTCTGTAGTATCTTCACAAATTGCAATGAGTCTCTCTGGAACACTATTGGTAGCCATTAGTTCTTTTTGAGATTTACTTTCATCATCTACTTCATGGCCATTTAAATTCACTTTCTCATCAAATTTAGACCAACGTGATTCAAAATAAGCTCGCATAGCATGTCCAGCACGTCCAACCTCTGAATCATCTTCATTAAAGAATTCACAATTAGAAAAAATGAGACGAACATCATGAACCCAATTACTGAAGGTAGTATATGCTCTAAAATAAAATAAAAAAGTGGGTGAATAGATTACGTAATCCGAGATTCCTGATAAACAAAAGAACATTGTCTAGGATATACATTTAGCGAAAAATTAAAAATCCACCAGGAAAATGTTGAGAATGAAGAGTAAGAAAAGAGCTATTGCATGGCAATTTTAAATATGATAGAAAAGTACTATTGTTGGTAGTAAAATATATTCCCAAACGTCATAGAAACTACAATGTAGTTAGACCACCACCACCACCACCAACAACAACAACAACAACAACAACAATGATTCCAATAAGCATTTTCAAGAAGCGTGTTTTGTTCGGTGAATTGTAACTATTAAGCCTCATTGTCATTTGGAATTCGTTTTTCTAATTATCATTTAAACACTTTAAGTAAAATACAGAGAATCATTGAATAAATGAAGACATTTAAGTGTATATACTTGAAACTATGTAACAAATCACTTAACTGGAAAATATACTTATTCTTTGTAAAATTATATGTACAAAAAGGCTGAATTTGCATTGATTTCAAATACTTTACTCCATTGTCGTTGAAAGTTACAGGACGATACTGTTATGACTTTATGCCCGGCAATTATCACGTGATTTATCCACCAATCAAAACACGACTTATACAATCTTAGCACTGTGCCAAAGCAATGACTTTCGATCGGTATGAGCAGTCTAGCGTCTTTATTAGTCCTATGTCCATTTAGCCCATCCACTTGAGTCCAGAACACCAATACCAGCTTCCACTATGCGAATCGAATCATTTATTTCAGACATACTGGGTTTATATATCAATCAAACAGATCGCAACGCACCATAAAGTAGGAAACAACATTTGTACACAATAAAGCCAAAAGTGGCTGTGAACGTGGGAGGCAATAGTTAATAAATTGAACATGGCTTAAGAACAGTGAATCGTACAATAATAAATTATAGGTCAAAATGAAGCTTATAATAATAAGAGGAATGTAAATATACATAATCTAATTATTGAATAATTACACCATAAGAATGTATAGATAATATTAGTCAATTAATATGTCTCAGAAGTTACTCATGATTTAATCTTCGCTCGGATATAACAAATACAATGTTTACAATTACGTATTAATGGATAGTGACACTTTTTCAACAATGTATCTGTTATATTTAAGAGAATTGGGTCTATGGTAATTCCTAATTAAGAACTGTTGGGATTCTTTTAATACAAGCATCATGTAATGACACAATAGTTGAACAATAATCCTTAACGCAATACAAGGTAAGACGTAGTCATACTGTTAGAAGAACTTTCTTATCATGGAAAGAAGCCAAATTTATGATTGAACAATCAGTATATGTAGCAATCAACACTGACCTTAGAGTACAACAAAACTAACGACCTATAAGTAAGAATAACTAGTCAAATGATAGCAAAGATTAGAGACGAATTATGAATTAGATATAAGTTAGCTGTACAATCCTTTCACAAGCGAACAAACATTTAGCTAACCTGCCTTCCCCTTACCAATATGATCTCTATTTTTTTACTTTTCATATAAACAATAATGAGAAGAAAAAAGATTTACACAAAAAGTTGGAGTATTGTGTTACATGTAAGGGTTTGTAGAAGTGAAAAAATAAGATAAAGTAAGATGTTAGATAAATTGATTTTAACGAGTAAATTGCACAAGTTAAAAAAATATATCTGATGTCACTTATTTGGGATTCTTAATAATTGTTAATCATTTAACTTGAATTTCCCTATCAACAAGGGCGGCCTGCTTGAGCATCTGGGCTACCTGTTCCTGCCATCTAAATATTTCAACAAGTTAACTATTTTTGTTTATTTTAATATATCATTATGTTTATTAATCGCATGATCTATTCTGCCGCGTTTCTGAAAAGTGTACAACCTTTCGTTGTCAAAGTTACAAAAAACTCAACAAGAGCCAATGTGGTTGCTGGCAATATACAGCGAAAAGAATACACATTATTCAGATGTTCATTTAGTGAACTGCTAACATCTAACTGGCGATCATTCGGTATTTATCGCCAGAACCGACCAAGAAGAAAGAAACGGAAACTTGTTGAAATACTTTACGCTGAGAATTCTATATTGTACCAAAAATATAATATTCAATAAAACTGATGATACTAATAATAGTAGTAATAATAATAATAGTAGGAGAACTTTGATTCACTAAAAAAATTTCTCCTGGATCAATGAAGAAGCATTTTAGTTCGCTTCTAATACTTTGTCTAGCCGCATGTTCAAAACAAGTCCATAGGCTAAACCTTTCTACTTTATATTTTCATAAATCAAATTTATTTGGTTCCATTATTATTATTATTATTATTATTATTATTATTATTATTATTAAGTATTTTTTATACATCGGAAGTAATGGTTTAAAACTTGTCTCAGCTTACTTTGTAGTTCCGTAAATTACACTACTCCATTATTAGTTACATCATCGATTCTCACATATTACGTCACCTACTTTTATTCTGTCTATTAATCATACAGTTTTGAGTGACTTGTAACCTTATTCAAATATATATTACATACCAGTCATTTTACAATATATTTACAAAAGGCTAAAACGCTTGTTTCATTAAAAATCCTAGGTTCATATAAATTTTTGGTGGGCCTTCATATGCCCTGGTACGACCGAGAGTAGGGAGAGTCATCTCTCTCTACCGAAATGCTTCCACATGATCAGGTGCATACAACCACCGCCAGGAAAGTCCTATTCACTACCTTCTCGCAGTGGGGGTGTTGTTCACGAAATTGAGAGGACGAAAGGCAAATGTCCGGTGGTTGGTGGATATGGAGGATCTACCTAGGGGAATTGGAAAACCCTGATTTCAAACCAATGGTTCACATAGGCTCCAGGATACTAAGGAAATAAATAGTGTATGAACTAATTGTTAGTCACCGGTTACCATGGGACTGCATCTCCCTACGTTGCTCCACTGCCTTGTGGATTAGACCTTTAAGTTGAAGGCTCTTGGTGTGGCCCCCTAAGAAGACCACCTACTTTGGTTTGAGCACCGGGCAGAATCCCAGCCCTCACACAAATCGAATGATTTATATGGTGCATATCTATTTGGTGCTCCTTTGTGCCGATGTTTATATGTTTAAATAAATAAATAAAGATATTTTTGACCTATTCATTCTGATGATTAGTTGGCATTGATAACTGCAGAATTTTATGAGAATCTTAGAAGTTCACCAATCAAAGATGCAAAAAATAATATTCCCGTTATATGAGTAAAATTTTCAATGGAATAAATTTCGACATAAAAAAAAGACCTGAAGTCATTAAATAAAGGTAAACTTTCAGTAGATTAATAGTAATCTAAAGAAAGGAGTAAACTTCTATACTGAAGAATCTAACAAAAATCTTTTCATCAATAGGTTATTGGTTGAAGGTTTTGTCTTGAAATACTGGATGTTCAAAGTAAGTAGATGAATTTAGTTTCAAAATTCAGTATTGCAAGTTGTTCAGATTTTCAAAACAGAACTTATTTCGACCTGATAAAATTATTGTGTAATTACTCTTCAAAATGATGAACTCAATTCTAGTACTGGGGTGAAAATCAACTCTGGGATGCAAGTAGGTTGAAATAAGACAAAATGTGCATTCTAGATTTGGCTGTTAACCATATTCAATCTATTCTACATAAATTTGCGTAATAATGGCTATATTGATGTAATTCACACATCCAAACCGAGACTGATCAAAATATCAACAACGGGACAATCGAAATTGTTATAAATTGAATCAAAATCCAGTAATTGCTTACATATTAAATTAAGTGCTATTAATAAGTAATAGTAAAATGTAACTAAAAGTATTTTTACAGAAACGAACCTATTTTATGTCAAGCAAAGTGTTTGATCTTATGAATCGATATTAAAAAAGAAATTAATTTCCCAATAACAATCAATACAGTATGGGGTTGTGGAGATTGCTAGTTTTTTTATTGAGATCATGAATCGATTCATGATCTCAATCAAAAACAATCAATACACGTTGAATATGGATGAATAACAACTGAAAGGAGCTGGAAAGGATTACCCAGGACAGGGTTGGATGGAAAATGCTGGTCTATGCTCCTTCACGAGGAGTAACAGGCGTAAGTAAGTCAATGTTCTGTCTAGTTTAACTCAATAATCTTATGGATGAAATAATTGTTCATTTAAAGACTCACTCAATGAGAAAACAAACATTGATGTATATAGACTTAGTTGATCTGTTTAACTTTAGGTTCTGTCATCATTCACAATTAAATATTATCAAATAGTAACAAAACATTTAGAAAAAAAACAAAAAATTATCTACTTTGAATCAACAATGAGAATTTTCGAATCACTTTTATGTAGGATCGTTGAAGTGTAAATGAAGTGACATTTAATGGTACCCTTATTGTTGATTACAGAATTTATTGTTAATAGATAGATTTAAATGTATTGTAAAAATACAATGACTTAGGATTTAACCCTTTTCAAATCGTATGTCAAGCAAAACTATATACATATATATACTTACGCAGGATGCTGTACTTTTCTCCATATTGTAGATAAATCCATTGGATGCTTAATTATTTTTCGATAGATAGGTACTTGTTTTAGATTAACTGGTTTACGAAATGCCCAAGAAGCTTCATGATTTAGTAAATCTTCTGTAGCTCGTCTGATTAATATATGTATATAAAGAAAAATGACAGACAGAACAATTACAACTTACACAGATGGTTTATTATCTATTTATAAGTAAAATATACTGATACTTTTAAATCAGAAAATGGTAGTTTCCTAAAGAACTATTTTTACACCAGAAAACATTATGTGAGAAGAATTCAGAAGTACAATAATCACTAATAATTATCAATGATCTATTTCAATATGCTTTACATCAAATGTTGGTATAAAGCTATGACTTATAAAGTTAACTAAGTTAATGATTAGATAGTGATCATCTATAGTATTTGATGACCACTTAAGTCAACTTCAAAAAGAAGGACTGTGAAAAGTACATTTTTTGAACCTATAAAAGTATATAATACACTAGTATTTGTATGAAATAAATTAATGTTATTATGCTTTCTACAAGATTTGGAAAAGAGTTGTTCATATGCTCAGTATTTAATTTTGCCTAGTAGACTATAGTTGGATGACTACTACTGTATCCTGACAGTCTCAGCATTTTCAGTTACTGTATTCTAGGCAAGATTTATTGATTAAAAATTAGACATTTCATAACCAACGAAAAAGAAGCTTAGAATATTAAATACTTTAAAAGTTGTCAACAATATCAGAAAGCTCATTTTTTTTACTTTAAAAAACTTACCGACACCATTCAAGCTCATTGGATTTCATTGGCTGATAAGTTTGACACAAAGGCTGTATAGATTCTGTTGAATCAATGGTAGAAGATTTATCATCATTGCCATTTGTTATTTCCTGATGTAATGTGCGACAGCGACGACGAGGACGACCTCGGGATCCAGATATATTTTTAGATACCAGTAATATAGATCGACGATGATAATGACGTTTGGGTTTTGTAGGCAGTGTATTTAAATGGTAAGTTGGTTTTCTACCAGGCTTTTTACGCAATGGAAATTCATTCAATTCTTCGGAGGCACTAGGTTTTCGTCTCTTATTCTCTAAATCAGTATGAGATCTAGGCTTATATTTTCTTATCTTGGATTTAGTAATTGGAATAGTTCCGCTATCAATATTCTCTGTACGTTTCCGATATTTATGGACTTTCCTCCACCAACCTTGATATTTTCTATTTGGATTTGTAAATTTACTGTCAACTATACTTAATGCATCATAGGAGTTCATACTTGGATGTTCTAATTTCAAGGCGGAACACATTTTACTCCTTTTTAGCTAAAAATGAATTCAAACCAATAGTTAACAAACTTCTGAAAAGAAATCACCTCAACACATTTTAAAATGTTTTTACATAGTATGGTCATTTCATAATGTCAATATCTACATAATACTAAGAACCGTTAAAATTAAAACAGGCGATATTTGGTAGTTTTCTACTAGAGAGTTACCAAAAAGGGATGGCTAACTGGTTACTTTTAATAAGTTGAACTGTATGCACATAAATATACAGAACGAGAAAATTTTGTGATTCAGTGATTTTGTATCTTTTATCATTCAGTTTCTACTTATATTCAACAGTTGATTTTGTGTAAAGTTAACATTTAGAATGTTGTAGTAATTCATTACATAAAGGTGACAAGTGTTATCTTCTCTCATCCTTAGTTCGAATTTAATTCTGTGAACCAAATTACACTGTAATTGTCAATTTGAATAAGTATCAGAAGGGGTTTGTGGAGATTTTAGAAATTTCACAGATTGAAACCATGAGTCAATTGAAGCTAGACCACCAGGTTTTACATGGTGCTCTAGCTTCAATTGACTCATGGTTTCAATCTGTGAAATTTCTAAAATCTCCACAAAACCCATTCTGATAATAATCACCTGCCCACTAGTGACTGACTTCATGAGATACTCCTGGAGTTCTAGTGAGAAGTCGTTACCAGTGGAGTTCAACCAGGTCTGTTGTGAGATATCAGCTCACTAAAGACAATGGTGTATGGTGGCTCAACTTCGCGGATTGGTTGAAGTTAAACACTAACGTAATTGGATACCGGCTGGTTCAGTGATCTAGTTGGTTAAGCGCCTGGCGCGAGACTGATAGGTCCTGGCTTCGGATCTCGCGGGGTGCAGGATGATGGGTCCCAATACTAGGACGAACCGGCTGTCCAGTGCTTCCAGGTTTTCCATGGTGGTCTAGCTTCGATTGACTCATGATTTCAATTTGAATAAGTGTAAATTGTTGTTCATTATGTTTTATATCAAGCGATGAACGACAATCATTTTGGAAATACTGGACCAAGGTTTCGTGCCAAATGTCCGTCTGGAATCTCAAAAAGATTATTACTATCTATTAGATCCAGACATGTGTTATGTAATGTTGGATTTTAGACATATATACCTTGGTAAGAAGTGTTAAATAATAAAATGAAATCTAGGTGCAGAACGTTTGCGTCCACTACCTTTAAATGAAACATATAGGCTTACATTTTACCTATTTCTATACATAATAATAAAACAATAAAATAAACACAGAAAATTGGAAATTACTAAAAATATGTTCTATGGATTATGTCATATATACTTATACGGTGAATTATTCATATTGGTAAGCAAAAGAACAGTTAAGTAATGATAGCATGTTTTTTATATTTTACAAAATAGTTCATATGATCTAATCTCCACAACCCCATACTGATAGTTACCATGTCCTCACTAGTCACTAGCTTTGAGAAGTAATTCTCGAAATTCTAGTGAGACGCTGTGACCAGTGAAGTTAATCCATATCAGGCAGAGACACGTATCTATGTCAGACAATGAAAGACGGTTGCACAGTTCCGTGGATTGGTTGAAGTTAAACATTAACACTATTGGATACTGACCGGCTCAGTCATCCAAAGGTTAGACGTTCGCGCACAAGACCGAAGACTCTGCGTTCGAATCCCGCGTGCGGAATCATTGTTGTGCACTGCTGAGGAGTTCCATACTAGAATAAAACAGCTATTCAGGACTTCTAGGTTTTCAATATTGATCTAACATCAATGATCTCTAATGTCCTTAGTATTAATCATAACAACTGAAATATCAAATATTAATGTACTTTATAATTATTCTGTCAAATCTTAAATCTAGTCATTTTAAATTGAACTATAATGTATGTTATACATGAAGCATTGAACTATTCATCATATGTAATTCTTGATTAGAGATTACATGTTATTGTCATTTTTATTTATGATTCCTGTTTTCTCTCCTTCTACTAATTGATTGTAATGGAATTCATTTCCTATTCTTCTTCTTCTTCTTCTACTTCTTCTTTTGTTTATAAAGGATAAAGTGAATGATCATTGATATTGAAAGATAGATAATATTGACACTTATTATTATTACTATTGAATAAGGTAGTAGATAGAATAGGATATAGAAAAAGATTTAGAATAATTGTCTGTCTGTTTATTCGTCTGTCAGTCTATCTTATTTTTTTCTAATATAAATTTGATCATTCTTTATGAGGATTATTTTTAATAAACTTGGCAAATTTCTAATTGGTAACTAAGTAGGACCGTTGTTGTTTTTGTGTTGTTGCCGTTGTTGTTGTTGTTGTAGGTTAATTATAGGCTTATTTTTCCTTTTTTTTTTACCAAAATTATTGTACCTACCTAATATGAATTGATTTTTTCTTTCATGTTAAAACGTTACTTAGTATATACGAATATTCGTCAAGACGTTACTTAGGATGTTTATATTTTTCTTTGAAACTTAAATGGGATTATATTGGATAATGAATTTATGAAATGGGAAAAACAGAAAGAAAGAAAAGAAAAGAAAGTAGTTTCAAATGATACGTTGTTTAAGAATAAGGATCGTTTAAAATGTACATGTGTATAGTAACTAGAGTAATTAAGGTTGCTTAGGTCAAGTTTGTTTTAGTTTTGTGCCAAACTGTTTCGATATATACTTACGATAGCATTCAAATAATAATAATAATAATGTATAGAATACGCATGCATTGTACATTGTACAGGAAAATAACTTTAATAGTTGAGATGACGAGTTAATTGAAGCTAGACCACCATGGAAAACTTGGAAGTATTAGATAGCCATTTCATTCTATTATGGGATTCCTCAGAAGTGCACATCCACGATTCCGCCTTGCAAGATTCGAACTTAGGACCTGACAGTCTTGTGGGCAAACAATTAACCTATTCAAAATCTCCTTAGGAATATATTCTGTAGATTTTAACCATCATAACTTATTTAAAATTTCAATATTTGAATGTTATGTTAGTTTACTAACTGGAAATAAGTAATTAGAGATTTTAGATGAAATTAAAAACTAATAGTTGACAACAATATCGAATAGTTTCTATTCATTACTTTTGATTACACTGGTGAAGAACTATAAATAATAAAGCAACATTGTTGATACTGATGAACTGCTTAGATAAATTCTAAGTTTATAACCAGTTAATAAACATCTGTATCTTCATAAAATCATTTTGGTATTAGTATATGCGACCAACCTGAATTATTTCTGTAATTATGTAAACCTTTTAAATAAAAAATTGGTTGCCATATGCACTCTAAACTTAAGTAGTGTCCTAGAACATCTGAGTTAATCTTCTTCATGGCCGGAGTATAACAGAAGCTCCCCTGAAGCTAGTCGCTATTGTCCAGCCTGTGTCCAATGTATTTCACTAACTCCAAGCACCTCCAGGTTGTATCTTTTCACTCCTGCAGCAATTTGGAAGACTCTCTCGGTCTCCCATATTGTACGAGCATTCCATGTACCTAAATTAATGGTTGCTCTGGTTGTCAGAAGGGGCATCAGCCTCGTGACCTCCAATGGAACTCGGCTTTCACCATGAGGCGTCATAAATTTTCTAAATGAAGACCTTCTGACTTCCAGGTCAGAGTTTGAATGGTTTGAATAATTTTTTTCTGGTTAGCGTTTTTTAGCGAGTTAGTTTCCTACGGGATTTAGTGTCCTATGATCAATTCTCTAATTCATTTATTTGACATTATGCTTATAGAATAAGAACAAATCGATTCATGGTTACTGAATAGTTATACGTACCATCTGATTATTATTTACATCAGTATCTTCATATACTTTGCGTTTTCTTCGGGATTTCTGTAGAGATAAATTAGAATTTTCATCTTTTGTTTTTATATATTTTAAAAATATACAATTAGAACAATACCATTGTTTTGGTATGCGTACAAATGCTGGTCGAGCACAACTATTATGCACAGCTCGTGAACAATGATAACAAACTGCTAATCGTTTAATTTCTGAAATTGATGAATTACTATCAGTTTGTTGTTGAATATCGTCAATTTCAGATCCACCACATATATAACATAAGTGTTTTGAAGTTGCTTTTGATACACAATCATAACAAAACCAATCTCCAGATGGTATATTAGATAATTGTGGACGAAAACAATAAGTATGATAACCACGATCACATCCATCACATAATAATAGACAAGCTTCATTGTTATCACGTCTGCATATCTGACAGAGCTGATAGAAAAAAATAATAACCATTCCTTAACTCTTTTTGGAAATATTAACAAAATTTAGTAAGGTCAAAAATTGTGCCCTATAATATTGCAAAATTGATTGGTTTACTTTATTTCCACTACTTACTATAAAGTAAATTGTCTTTATTAATATAGCGTCAGTGAAATCTGTTCAGTGATAAGCGAAATGAGTCTCGACTATATTAATGTGATCTATCTAATAGAGAAGAAAATTTCACTCAAAATATGAAACTTCATAACAGAAGATCTCATTCTTTGATCATAGTTTACATGTATTAGATGATGAAGGAATGTTAAAAAAGTCGATATGGTTCGAATAAATAAGAGAAAACTGATCGAATGGATTATCATGATTAATTCAACAACATAACAGATTATCCCATGTAAACTTATTCCAACCACGTAGCAGCATGGTATTGCAGCATGAAGTACATATTGTATCATGAAGAATTATCCATTCACTACATGGACTGGAAGATAATCACAAATCGATTAAATTTTGAAATATAAACTAATGGATCCTAAGTCAAAGGTCTGGAAATTAAGTATTCACAACGAGGATTGAAGTTCTTGGGTTCAATCTCTAGTAAGATAGTCGATGCATACCATTGAAGGATCCCATACTAGTGATGAACAACTGTTCAGTACTCTCTAGTTTTTCAATGGTTATCTAGCTACATTTAGTACTCCATGTAAAGTACAAAATTCTCAACATTAGTAAATTGAGAAATTCATTATGAACGAATTATAATTTAATGTTTAATATATAAATGATATTTTTGCATTGCATATACTTCTACAAACATTTAACTTACTACTTTCATTATTGACTTATCCCATGCAATTGCTAGAACTAACTGATTCATGCAACTACGTATTGTGTTAATATCAGATGCTTGATTTAGGTTGGTACGCCAATCCATAAGATCCTGAGGAATACTGTTATTTGTTTGGTCATGTATAGGACCATTTAATCCATCTGGATGGTTAGCATCAAGCTGAAAATCACACGCATTACTAGTATCAACCGGATCGTTTGAGTTAGATTGTTTATTGGTTACATGACGGATTTGTGGTACATGATTTTGTCTAGAGACGTTAATATCATCTTCAACTATTTCAGTGTTAAATTCACATCTATCATATTTTATGTCATTGCACTCTCCTTCAGTTTCTATCCCTGTATCTGTAGACTCTGTATTACTACGTACTTCTGGAAGAAATGGTACATCAATAGTTTCAACTTCAGGGATAATATTTAAATGAACTTCGGAATTAAATGGTGGAAGTAGATAACGGCGTTCTATATGACGTTCAATGTCTAATAAACGATTCCGTGCCAATTCCAGTGGCCAGTGTTCAAACCGTGATTTCTTGACTTCAGTACGAGGAATGAGAGAGATTATTTCATCTTCAGATGTTTTATTTGGAATCTAAAAAACAAAACATTATTCTTATTAACAGTCAATGTTTTACAGTTGAAAATGAAAATGTAAAGCACAATGTTAAACAGAGATTGAATCATTAAATTATCATATGTCTATGATTCAAATATCAATAGTTAGTTTAAATATGTCTATAGATGAACATTACGTAACAAATATATATATATATATATATATATATATATATATATATATATATATACTAGAATTTGACCACAGATGCCTTAGAAATATTGCTGGCGTCTGCTGGGATCACCGGGTAAGTAATAATGAAGTTAGACGCAGGGTATTAGGGAATGATGGTAAATCAGTTGATGAGGTTGTGAATCTTCATCGACTGAGATGGTTGAGCCATATGTTACGTATGCCTGAACACCGATTACCACGATGTGCAACGCTAACCGGTGTTAGATATGGTTGGAAGAAAAATATTGGCGGCCAAAAAAAACATGGCATCAGTGCTTGAAGTCACTAACTTCTAGTCTGAACCATGTTGGGAGATTCTGACTACTTGGTTGGGGCCCGCGTGACTATCGTAACCAATGGTTGGAGACTCTTGGTGACATGGCTCAGAATCGATCACAGTAACATAGGTGTATACACTCTCTATCTTCCCTTAAACTAAGAGATTAAAATCGCTTCATATCTTTCTTTCTACGAACTAATTCTTTCTTCCTGTACTACATCCTTATCTCAATCTTTCTTCTATATATTACCACCTCTGAATTAACTACTTTTATGAATCCGGTGTCCATCTTGTTGTGTTAATGAGGTATGGCAACTTGGACCAATGCATATATGTGCCTGGTCCTACGTTGTAGCTGACTGACTGGTATATATATATATATATCATTTCAGTGTATTGAGGTTACGCAAATAGTTGAATTTGCAGTTTTACAACACAAACTAATTTATATGTTATTTGTCAAGTAGTAACAGATATGTAAATAAGTATATTTACCTTGTTGAACTCATTGTTTTATCGATTAGTTAATGTTGAATAATGTACATATTTTTATGATCATAGAGAATTTCAGTTACCAAATTAAATAAGTTACTATAAGTTACCATGATAGATCAATAAATTATTTGACGAATAAATTCAGAGAGTAATAGGGTGTGAAAATGTCAATTAAATAAACTATACAAAAAATGTGATTAATTCAGCTGTTATTATTTATAGTAATTTCAATAGTTGAGATCATGAGTCGATTGAAGCTAGACCACCATAGAAAACTTGGAAGCACTGGACGACCATTTCCTCCTATTGTGGGACTCCTCAGCATCGTGCATCCGCGATCCCGCCTCGCGAGATTCAAAATCAGGACCTATCGGTTTCGCACGCGAACCGTTAACCAATAGACCACTGAGGCGATCGGCATTCAACGGTGTTAAAATCTAATTTCAACTAATCCACGAAATTGGTCGACACATCCACCATTGTCTTCAGTGAGTTACTATCTCGCAACAGGCTCGGTTGAATTCAACTGGTCACGGATTCTTACTAGAACCCCAGGAAATACCTCTTGGAGACCGTCACTAGTAAGCATATGTTGATTAATATTAGGTTAAGCGTTCGCGCGCGAAACCGATAGGCCATGGGTTCGAAACTCGTGAGGTGGGATCGCGGATGCGCGCTGTTGAAGAGTTCCATACTAGAACAGAACGGCTATTCCATACTTCCAAGTTTTCAATGGTGGTCTAACATCAATAGATTGATGATATTAATCAAGAATAAGAACTTATTCAAATCTCTTTCCTTAAGGTTCCACACTGTACTGAATATATAACATTGAATAAAGTCGTTATTACTATTATTTTTATCACTAAGTGATCATGAAAATTGAGAAAGATTAAAATGAATTTTAAAATTTAGTGGAAAAACAGACGATTCTGTAATTTTAATTTGTTAACTGTACTTAAGATGAACATGTGAAAATACAGTAGTCTTTTTCTGTGTTTGTTTTTTATTCATGTCATATATATATGGAAAGATTTGTCCAGTTCAAATACAGTCCGTATAAAAAAACTGATGTAGATTGGAGATTTTGAAGAAACAGGAGACTTCAGCGACAATGTAGGTCTAGGAACTAGGGATTTTGTAAAGATATATACTTAATGTAGTGATTATCAATATATGACACTAAATAATTCACAATATAATTCGAACATTATCATATAGCTTAGAGCATAGTTTACGACTCGAATAATTCGTATTTATGGAGTTTTTACAGACTGTCGGAGCTCATATTTTGCACCACCGGTTGGTGTTAAACAGACGACCATTTAAAAACTAAGAAATCCTGGACAGTAAGGATTTAACCTTCAGACCAGTAAGTTGGCACTCAGATGTTTTTATTTCTAACTATAATCAATCCTTAATATCTCTCAATCGCTATTCATTAACCATTGGAGAGTAACCTTATGAAACTGAGTGTGATTAAATTCTACTAATCACAATTTTTCATCAAAACTCTGAAAATTATCTCATGAAATCAATCGCAAGAGTGCATATGATTATCATCAGCGTAGGATGTTTGTAGGAATTTTCGAACTTCACAAGTTATACCACGAAGTGACCTCAATGTTCTATAGTTTAAGCATACGCCGCAGCACCTGGTGGTCGCTGATGCAATTCTTAGAGGGATTTTAGTTGTTTATCAATGAAGAGTTTTAAATTAAAACAAAACAACTGTCTAGTGCTTCCTGATTTTCAACGATTACTTAGTTACCGTCAGCCTGTAATGTAAGCTACAAATACTTGGATTTTTCGATATTTCCCCAGTGTATTAAATCTAAATTTTACACAACGGTTCTATTCTCATCAGAAGGAACTTTGTGGATATTATAGTAATTTCAATGGTTGAGGTCATGAGTCAATTGAAGCTAGACCACCATGGAAAATCTAGAAGCACTGGATGGCCGTTTCGTCCTATTGTGGGGCTCCTCAGCATTGTGTAGCCACGATCCCGACTCGCTGATCACTAACAATACAAGTAAAGGGAATCTAAGTTTATTAACATTCTATTCATCTTACAATTCAACTTTAGCATCAAACTTGTTGAAATATGTTAAAAAGTCCCTGAATAGTCTAGATCATCATATTCAATAACTCAATGTTAAAGTGATAATGTTATGTTAGCAACCGTCAGTATGATTTTAATTATCCTAAACTAAAAAGAAATATTTGCTGATATAACTATACTGCAAAATTCATTTTCTGATGTTTCGAAGTATCATATGTACGTAGTTGGATAGCATAATGAGGTTACGATTTAGGGAAATCCATGATCCAGCTAAATCAGTTAATTTAAAAAATATTGATGTCAATTATAGATTTCTCATTATGGGGATTAGAGTACTAGGTGAGTAATTATAGTATTTGGCTTTCAATCCGTAGGTTGCAGGTCCAGATCTAGCTTCATGTATTAATGTTTAAGTAGCCGGGGATCATTGGCAAGCTTCACCCAGCAGAGTATATGAAACTGAACTTAATAAATGAGTTACAGTACATTATTACAAGGAAAGAATAAAATTAAAAACTTTGTTTATACCTTCCATTCTTTAGTTTGCAAACTGGCATATATTATTTTGTCCTCGAGAGCTTCCACATCATAAAGCAGTTGACATTCACTCATAAAATTTTCATATTCTGTTGAATTATCCTCCCATTTCAACCCTTTATTATCAAAAATTTTGTATTTAGAGCTGATAATTTCAATTGGATTTACTGTAGACGTAAGTGAAAAGTTATGATAACCACGACACATGTCTACAAGAGTGCGTTTGGAACCGGCTAAAGATGTGACTGTTAGTCCACTATTAGTATCACTAGAACCATCATCACTAGAACACAGAATATCAGAACGAGAAATATTAGAAGTTGATGAATGCAGACGTTCGATCTCTTTACTTTCACTAGAATTATTTCCTTCCCAAGATGAAGATGATATAAAACCATTTGAAGTTTTTCCAGATAAACAGTTCCAACTACCACCTCCAGTGTAATAAAATCCAGAACTCATTTTTGTTGTTCCATGGCCTCTACCACTACGTCTTCCTCTACGACGATGAGTACGAATTTGCATAAGCCGTGAGTTCAATTTCGTTGTAGGTAAAGATTTAACAACTTCATAGTCGGAATCTAAATGAAATAATTGAATTAATATGAGTAGTTGCTGAGCAGCTTAACAGAGTATTTAAAATCATTTTCTTAAATATTTATAACTGAAGAATCATTTATGGAATTAAATCTTCAATGAATCAATAAAACTATAAATGAGCGATTCATAATTTGTTACATAGAGTTCATTTTTAGAGTGGACTCTATTCACAAAACTCATGACTGAAATATTTCAACTATTAATAAACTCCGCATAGAGCCTCTCTTGGGCTACTGCCGGTCCAAAGCCCGGATAAAGGAGGAGGGTTGGGTAAGGGGTTAGCGACCTCATCTCGTAGAAAACTAACTCGCTAAAATAACGCTAACCAGAAAAAGAAGTAATAGACATGTAAAATACTATGAAGACATTGTGTACAGACATAATTCATAAAACAGTCAAGTAAGCAAACTCCCTGAAAACGGTAAACATGTTTATGACGATAATATACATATAAAAATCATGTATTAATTCCATTACAGAATAAGATATATTTAAATAGAAGATGAATAGAAATATGCATAGATGGTGGATAAAAGCCTAGTTCTTAACAAGAATATATGTAATTCAAAATCTTTAGTACATTCTTACAAGATGATACATAAAACCACAGTTTGATGAAAATACACATAATTTCCAGTCATTTTTATGTTCTTTAAAATAGCTAGTTTAAGTGTGAATCTTCTTATGTTTTATGGCGAAAAATTATCGAACCCATTTAGTAGCCCATTATCTGACACCATTTGGATTGTATGAACGATTGTTATCGAAATATACATATCATCAATTCTCGAATATAATAATCGACTTAAATTGCCTTAGTGAATAACAGGATTAAATAATTTCAATGGTTAAGATCATGAGTCAGTTGAAGCTAGACCACCATGGAGAACCTGGAAGTACTGGACGGCCGTCTCGTCCTATTGTGTGACTCCTCACAAGTGCGCATCCACGACCTTGCCCCCTACGAGGCTCGAACAGAGGACCTACTGGTTTCGCGCGCGAGCACTTAACCACTAGACCACTGATTTCTAAATTCAACTAATTAAATAAGTCGAATTAAATAAGTCAAATGCGAGAATAAATTTCGAATACATGAATTTCGTACAGTCACTGATCCAGACAAATGATAGAAGAAACGAAGCCAAAAGAAGAGATCGAAGACAAGGCATGTGAACCAACTCGATCTAACTAAGCGCAAATCGATATTTACAGTCAAATCGAATCGAGACAAGGGAAAGCAAAGTGACGCAAAGAAAATAATTAACAAAGTCAAAATTTGGCTTCAGAAGAATGAATAAATTAGCTTGTCTAGATGATAAAATGACCTATATGGGCTTAATATAGGGACAGTCACTACACGCATACTCCTATATTTTGCCCCAATATCAAATTTCATTATAAATGAATATATATATATATATATATATATATATATATATATATATATATATATCACAATTGATTACGTGTCTAGTCCTAGGTGTCGAGTCACCTAGGCTGGTGGCCACATTGCAACATGGTCGATAGCATTCGATTTGCACTAATAAGGACTAGACACTCAATCAATTGTGATTACATCTCAGTCCTACAGGATGTCGGTCGCGGCTCGGATAGCTTAGTGGTAACGTCTCTGACTGTGAAGCTGGGTGACACGAGATCGGATCCGCCAGGTAGCACCAGTTTCCTCAAGATTACAGGTACACCTTGCTGACGAGTGCCAAGTAGCACGAAACCCGGGTTCAGGGTTTCCTGTTGACTACCTCCAGCCACCATCTAATATATATATAAAACAAACTACGCTGAACTCACTTCTTTTCAAAGCTACATGCATAGACAATTCTATAAAATCTTTTGAACGTCGAATACATTTCGCTAATTGTTTTTCTCGAACTCCACGACAATTAAGAGCATCTAATAAATCTTTAAGTTTATTTATATCTACAAGTTGATACCAATTTGATTGTATATTATCATTTTTTAATTTTAAATATGATAAATTTTCTTTCATTGTTTGAATACGTCTATTTTCTAATTCATTATTAACACATTCTGTTATATCAATATCCAATTGATAATGATTATTAGTTTGTTCATTGATCATTTGTCTTTCATTTAAGGGTTCTGTTTTAAATTGATTTAACATCATCTCTCTTAATTTGATGATTGATTCTTTCAATGGTAAATTCATAGATGATACATTATCAGAATTAGAATTTTTAAAATAAACCATTTCATCTGATATAGCAGAACTAAGTAAAAATTTACAATAATTCATGATAGAAATCCATGAATCAGAATATAGTTGATTATCAACGGTTGGTAAATTGATTCCAGCATGATTCATAAATAACATTACACTTTTGGTTAATGTTAAATCATCCAAATCTGATTTAAATTCAATAGGAAGTGTTTCATGATTGAAATTTTCATTTGAAAATGGTTCTGAATGTAAAGGTTTATTTGATAAATCTAATGGTTGTCCTAAAGTGTATGTCTTATCTGTGAAAGATTCTAATTTATATGAAGAAATTTCATTGACAAGTTTATCATGACAATCTTGTTCATTAGTTTGTCTATTATTATCCTCTAGTTTAACATTATCTCTATTGATCATAGTATCTTGAGTTATATTATCATGATTGGTTAAGGGAGTTGATATTTTAACTTTAAGTTCCTCTTTGCATTCGATACCATCAACTTCATTTAAAGGAATGGGATTCATAGATGAATCACAAATACCTTCACTGGTAACATTAATTTTTATTTCAAAATCATTCTTCGACTGATTTGTTGATTCTTCATTGTCGTCTTTGTGTAAAATATGATTATAGACGAATCCTACTGGTCCATTTGTATCATCTATACAACTTCCTAATGACTGAGAATTTATATTATCATCTTGTGTTGAATGAGACTCCGTAGGATATTTTGGAAGAGTAATGACGGGATATTTCTCAGTTGATAATTCGCTTGGATCGTTATCAGGTATTTGAGCTAAGGATTCACAATTTATGTCTTCAGAAATATTTTTAACATCATAATTGGAATAAATACCCGAAGAATCTCTTATACAACTTGAATCATCAGAATTTTCTACTATTTTCTCGTTATCAGGATGTGATATGTGAACACAATTCGGAGATCGTGGGCAAACATTTTCATTCACAGTTTCTATTACATCTTTGCCGTTTAAATGATCAGAATTCTTCAGTTGTACATCATTTAAGATTGTTTCAGGGTTTATATCACATTGTTCTGTTTGATTTAAAATAACGGCATGTGAATTACCATCTAGCTGCAGTTTTTCAAAATTTGAATGAAGTTTATTTTCAAGAGGAATATCATGGCATGGATAGGAATTAGCTGTGGAAACAGTCAACTTAAGTTGGCGTTGTTGTGCAAGTTCTCGGCGTACTTTTATCTGATTCACAATGTGATCAAGGTGAGAATCAGGAAGTTCAGATAAAGTGCTGTCAATAGGTAATATGGGATTTTCACCACCTTCTGTTGTTAGAGACTCAACACAACAATCACTTTTTGTTGACATATTACCAGGAGATTCACATTCAATGTAAATGCCGCCCATATGTTTTAAAACATAATAGTTACAATAATATCTGTCTTGTCCAAGAAATAGTCCAGACAATCTGGATGAACATTCATCAATTTCTCTTTGTTTTTGTTCTGTTTTTCGAGTTAGTGATTCAATCTTAGCCTCAAGTTCACTTATTTTACAAGTACTATCTTCATCATCTGATAATGAGGTAGAAGATATTGCACAAGAATTACCAACTATGGGCATTGATGTGAGTTTTGGCAATGTAGTTAATGGCATATTTTTTTGATATGCAGTTGGTTCCATGTCGATTGCTTTTCTATCATATTCTGTTATGGTATTATTGATTAAATTCCCTGTGATTGTCAGTTTTTGAGCAATCAATAAACGCAATCTAAAAGATAAAATGTTACCTCCATTAATAACTGTAACAAAGTTATCATTAATATAAATAATAAAAAATGTAACGAATTATAGAGGAACCACATAGGTTGTATTTGTCCTAAATTAATTCCAGTCGATGTCCATTAGAATGCAAGGAGTATTGAACAACTGTTTTGTTACAGCATAAGACTCTGTTGCAGCGCGTATTCATGATCTCATAAACTAGTTAACCCATAACCGATAGGTTTCGCTGAGGGCACTTAGTCATTACAACTGTTGAATCGGCGTCTAATGATAAAAATTAAACTTCAATTAATTCACGGTATAGCACGACGGCCACCGACTATCATCAATAATGAGATAGCTGTTAATGCAATCTGATTGTCACTAGTACATCGAATGAGATTAATCCGTGACAAAAACAACCTATAAAATAAAGCTAATTGTCGCAAAAATCCTTTCAAGTAAGAAATAAAAGGTCAATTTAATTAAATGACAGAATGAGTCACATCGTGATTGTCCTAGAGCATACAGACAAATTATTGAATCCATTTATCTCTTAATCAAGTAAAAGTTTGTAAAGCGAGATTTGGTTTTCTCCGTTAAACTTATAATGACAGATTACAAGAAACTCTTCCTTATTAAGGTTCAATATACATTTGTGGCTATTCAAAACATGTACTACTCAAAAGCTTGAAGGATTCGATACTTATAACCAACGCTAACGCAAAGTAAATTATCTTTGAACTATTCACGCTATTATTTATCTTTTTATCCCAGATTAATTCTATTAACCGGTTACAGAATACAAACAAACAGACTGATAGTTCATAACAAGTTAGTATATCTTTACTCACACAAAAATGAATTTATTGTTATTAACGTCAGATGGTTACTTGCTTATGTTAACAATATTTTTTAAAGATTATACTTGAAAGATTCTAGGATAGTTCCAATGGTAACAAGCTAACAGGATAATCTTAAAAATGGCAAGCATTAGTAGAGAAATGCTGAACATATTCACTACAGTTAGTGTATATTCAAATGGTACCGTTTATCAGTAAAAACATATCTTTATTCTTCGAAGAGATTAAATTCTCATACTTTACGAGATTCGAACAGTAACTACTCTTCAATCTCAGATAGGTTACTAAGAGGAAGATGCACATTTTAATGTACACAGAGCAGATGAGTGTATAAAGAACTCTTTAAATGCAACTGATATGTATTCGTTTGAAATCACGGGTAAAATATACCAATATTTTTATGCAAAAATCTTGAAATAATATTATTGTTCCTATTTCAAGGCCCCCAAAGCCTTGGTACAACTGAGAGTGGGGAGAGTCCGCTCTCCCTCTCGAAATGCTCTCACATGGCCACGTGCATACAAACACTGACAGGGAAGTCCTACTCACTACTTTCTCGTAGCCGGGATGCTGTTCATCAAATTGGGAGGACGAAAAGCGAATGTCCGGTGCTTTAACCGGGTTGGTGGACATAGAGTGTCCAACTAGGGGAGTTGGAAAACCCCGATTCCAAACCAATGGTGCACATGGGATCCAGTATCCTGAGGGGACAAAGGGCGTGTGAACCAATCGTTGGTCACCGAATTCCATGGGAATGCATCTCCTTACGTTGCTTCAGTGCCTTGTGGATCAGACCTTCAGGTCGAAGGCTCTGGGTTTGGCCCCCTAAGAAAACCACCTGTTTCGGTTTTGTCACCCGGGTAGTATCCCAGCCCTCACACATATCAAATGAGATCTGTGTGGCGCATATGTATTTTGTGCCTCCTTGTACCAATATCTATGTTAGAATAAAAAATAAAATATCAAAACATTCACTTAAAAAACTAAATATAACATACAACTATATTTTATTTTCAACAAAAAACTGTTTGTTCAAGGTATTGGGAAATTTTGTAATTTATATTATACGTTCTTAGTAATTCATTTCTCTATCCCTACTCTATGGTTTCCAGTTTCCAATGTAACATCTCTTTACCTTTAGATGTAATTTCTCGTCTATTTCAGTGTCTTCAATTATTAATTATCTATTATTTAAATATTTATGTAAGAAGTAACTAAATGTCATCAGCTAATCAGTTGTGAATATGCTTCAGATAAACTTTGGATTTTTACTTGAGATCATGAATCGATCACTTTTAGACCACTAGTTAAAACCTGGAAGCATTGGATGTCTATTTCGTCCTAATATCTCCTACACTGGATTCAAAAGCAGAACCTTCGGTCTCGTGCGCGAACACTTAACTTTCGGGTCACTGAACCGGTCGGTTTCCAACGGTGTTAATGTTTAACTTCAACCAACCCACGAAATTGCGCAACCATCCTCCATTGTCTGACACAGATACCTGTCTCTACCTCACATGGATTAGCTGCACTGGTCACAGCCTCTTACTAGAACTCCGAAAATTACCTTTCGAAGCTAGTTACTAGTGAGCACATGGTAATTATCAGTATGGGGTTGTAGAGATTATCTAGTATTTAATTGAGATCATGAATCGATTAATGTTAGACTATCATTGCAAATCTGGAATCAAATAAACTAGTATAATATCATACAATATGTTACCTTCGTATTTTTGATTCAATAATCCATTTTTCACGTTTCAACAAAGATTGTTGTTCAATTGTTCTGTCTATTTCAGTTGATATAAGACGACTTGAACAAATTAATTCATCACAAATGAAAGCTAATAAACTAGCTTGTTGTTCTCCAGTAAGATCAATAAATTGAATTGGAGGATGAAGCCAATCCGACATATCATCTTCATAACCATTTCGACTAATAATAAATACTCGAAGTATGATACTAATCGTTTGTTCATTTAATTCTATTTCATTAAATTTCTGACCAAGTAATTGAGTAATCTATAAGCAACAATTATAGTGAATATTAGATTAAAAAAGAATTGCCTTAAATACGAAATAAATAAATGATAGTGGAATTGTGAGTATATAACACTGAATAGTTCTATAACGTAATAAGATAGTTGTATAATCCTTCCTGATTTTCCATACCACCTTAAATGAGATTAATTTGTGATGAATACAATCCACAAATTATATTATGTTAAATTTAAGGTTACGAAAATAAATAAACATTGAACAATTTTATTATTTATCAATTTATTAAAGATTCCTCATCAATACACAACTCCGACTGTAGCTCTTCTGAGGTTACTGCCGATCTCAAGTTGGAGAAAAGAAGAATTCGACATGGAGTCAACATCCTCAAACAACTTTGCTAAAACAAGAAAACGCTAACCATTAATGCATACTTATGAATTTAATAAACAGAGAATGCTTATACTTAATAATAAATCCTTCCACTTTTGAGTATTTTGATGGAGTTTTGTTCTCTGAGCTGGATGGTTTGGTCGTGGAGCTTTCATCGTTCTTCTTAAGATAGACTTCTACCTGAAGTTTGTGTGAATAGAAAATGATATTCATCCTGTCTACAATAAAATAAACTCGATAGACAAGTAGAACTAACTTATAGTATCATATATACAGAAACAAATAGAACATAGTCAATATGAAGCTTGAAAATGTATTTTAATCATCTATATAACCTTGGTTTATGTCTGAATTATATTATTAGCATCTTTCTTACATTGTTTATAAGACAGATCTTAATACTTCACACACAAAAAAGAAAGAGACGATTATCTGATAAACGATCTTTCATTATAGAAAATATAACGATTGATTAGACAAGCAAGTGACTATCAGGACTCAATATCTAAGTGGATAACGCGATGGCGTTTGAAGTGAATGGTACTAGGTTCAAGTCTTAGAGTGAACATGAACTCTAAGATTCAGGTACATCCGGTTGACGAGTCCAAATTGGACGAAACGCGTATTCTGGATTCCACTGCTAGCCACTGTCTTTGCTTATAGTACGGATGATTGTTTACCTTAAACGTCGGAATGTAGACATTTTTTTCTATTATTATTTTCTATTTTACTGCTTTTTTAAAGTAAGAAATTACGTTCATCACTTTCTAACTGAATAATATAAATATGCTTAGTTGAAAATATATTAATGAAGTCAATGAAAGATGTAGTTTCTTTTACACGATAGTGTCTATCCAATCTAAATGTTGTCACAAAGTTGGTAATTGAAAGATTCATTATAAAATTACCTTTTCGATTACTTGATCAGTAACCTATAATAAAACAGAACTCCAACTTCAATTACATTGAATTTTTGAAGTATTTTGGTTGATTATTGTATATATGGTCAAGATATATGCGTTCATTAATCATTAAAGCAGGTACTCAGTCAGGTAAGTTATCTTTTAACTAAAATCAAACTGGATTAGTGATGAGTATTTAAAAGTTGTATCCAAATAAGAGCACCAACTCTGACTCCATTAGCTTAGCTCCACTGATCTTAATTATTTACTTAAACTGATTCTGTTTTGTGAAATGTTAATCAAAGTTTTTTTTAAATGCTTGGTTTAGTAAGGGCTTGTATTTTACCGTTGTTGACATTCAGAACTGCAATAGATCAGTTTCTTTTACCGTACGTATAATCTGGGTGGATCATTTTAATAAAGCTACTTTCTTATAAATTTCTTTTTATTTAGTATGAGGTTAGCAGTGAAATCCAAGACATTTGTTTCATCCAATTTGAAAATTGCTTGTTGGATGCACGTGCCTACATCCCAATGTTAATGCCTATACTGAGATTCTGATCCAGTACCGTACACTTCAGGCACCCAACGAGTTATCCACTAGGATAATAATTCTAGATAGTCTATTTATGCATATTTGATCGCTCGATGTATTGTTATATGACTTGAATGACATAAATACCCTGATATTATATTTGAATATACTGTTGATTAACTTGTAGGATGTTGGTTCTAAAAATAGATTTTTCTGCTTAAAACTTACAAGTCTTGGACTTGGCAATCCTGGATCCTCAACAGCGAGTTTAAGCAATCCGATCACCAAATGTACAAGAAACCGTTGACATTGAGGATTTCGATCAATTAATGCAGATTGCAATTCTCCCATATTTGGAATGATCTCAGGGTCTAGAAACCAATTAGAAATTTAGGATACATAAAAGATATTGGATATGAATTGGCTACAACTTAAGATTTTGGCGAAAATGCCTTTATAATATGTGGTTTTCAATAATACTGTTGGGAAGAGTGTAGATAAACCTTGTTATGGTTTATTCAATGCAAATTATTTTAATAAAAATTTAGTAAAAATTATTCAAACAAATTTTAATGATGAGATAGAAAATTTATTCCTATAGTGTTGATGAATGTATTCAAACCAAACAACACATTAATTTTCATTGATATTACAAACCGAATTAGGTTAGACAACCGTTAAAAACCCATTATTATAAGACAAACGTTTTGTCATAGTAAAGGAACCCTCAGCAATGCGCATTTACGACTCCAAAATAAGGAATTGAACTCAAGATTTTCGGCTTCACACATGAACGCTTAACCTCCAGAACACTGAGATGGGGTTGATTGGTTTACAATAATGTAACAATAAACGATAACCTTACTTCTAATAATTAGTACAATAATAATAACAATATGGTAATAATTTAGTTAATATTTCATTCTCTAAATTCAGTGGTCTCTCAATGAATTCCTTCATCAACACTCTGTCAACTCATTCGTTACATCACTGAACATCATTTCAACCAAATTCTCTACCTTAATCACACATCCTCATCACTTATCACTAACCTTATATCAAATAGACAATCGTTTACATTGACAATAATTAGCTAAGGACTATCAGACAAAAAATATTTTATGCCAATCACATGAAGAATTCATGGGCACTCTCATCACCCAATCATAGACTATAATGAATTAATTAGTAAATATAATATTTTATATATATATATATATATATATATATATATATATATATATATATATATATATATATATATTCAAATGTATTTGTTAGTTGAATTCATGCGTCGATTTAAGCTGGACCACCATGAAAGTTGTGGAAGCACATCCACGATTTCGCACAAAGGACTCAAACGTAGGACCTATCGGTCTCGCACGCGAACGCTTAACCAATAGACCGGTTGACATCAAACAGTGTTAATGTCTAACTTCAACTAATCCACGAAATTGAGCGATACATCCACCATTGTCTTCAGTGAGTTACTATCCCACAACAGACCCAATTCAACTCCATTGATCACGGTTTCTCACTAGAGCTCCAAGAAATACCTCTTAGGTTTGAAACTTGCGAGGCTGTATTGTGGATGCGCACTGTTGAGGAGTCCCATAATAGGACTAAGTGGCCGTCCAGTGCTTCCAGATTTTCCATAATGGTCTAGCTTCAATTGGCTTATGATCTTTACCATTGAAATTTATTTGTGTTTAAGAATACATCTTTTCATATTGATATGATAATCACTATGGAGAAAGGCAAACTATTATAATTTGATCTTTCATTATAAGCAAAAGAAGTTATATCAGTAGTAAACCATAAACAGTATAAATCAACAAATAAGAACTTTCGTCTAAATTTGAACGAATAGTTTCACAATATTTGAGCGCCGAGTTAATGTGAAACATTAAAAAAAAGAAGAATGTATTTGTAAAATCTCAGTGAAAGAATTTGAAGTAATTCCAACGTTTCACCTGGCAATCTGATTATATTTCCTTGAAAAAGCTTGGACCAGATTGCCAACTGAAACATTGGATTTACTTCAAATTCAATCGCTGAGATTTTACAAATACATTCTTCCTTTTCAGTATAAATCAACCTTCTAAAATCATATTGATTCATTTAAAATATAAACTTGGCAATTAATTTAACAATAATTATTCATCAAATAAAAAAAGACGAAAAAGAAAGAAAGAAAGAAAGAAAGAAAGAAAGGAGGAAAGAAAACAATAAACGTTTGCCTTTACACTTAGACTATTTATTTATTTAAGTAATATTATCATTTTTTTCTGCTTTTAAAATAAGAATAATAAGAATAATATAGACAGAAATTTCAATTTATATTTCTATGTAAAAATACCCCCAGGCTGATTTTTGAATTTTTATCAAATAAAAAAAAACAGAAAAGAAAAACGAAGAAAAAAACTATTAAACTTTTAATATTTTCTGTATTATATGTGTATACTTGTAAATTAACAGAATATATACAAAAGCAAACATACACACACACACATGCATACGCACATACATAGACACATAGATACATACATACCCTAAAGAGGCATAAAACTGTATCTATCTTGATTTTCACGAATATATATATATATATCAATTGTTGTTTTGTATTAATATTTTATTTATTTGTTCATCTCTAATTCATATTCATTCGTTTTTAAAAATCTTAATATCTTATTTGTAGAAAAATGTGTACGCACTAAATATGACGCGTAAAATATACAAGACAATATATATTTATATACACACGCAAACTCACACACACGCACACACACATACACACACATGCACTTAGAAACAAGTACATATAGGCGTACATCAAAATATACGTACAGTTTTTCTTTTTTTTTTTAATATTGTTATTTAAAGCGGCTTAAAAAGAAATCTATCCATTTCTAAATTCTAATCGACTAATAGAATAAATAGACTGAATTAAATGACAGACGAAAACTATATATATTGAGATAGATATATATGTATATATGTATATTTTAAACTTCCCTTAGTTATTAGTTGGTAAAAGGCCGAAAGGTAGTAAACAATTTCATTACATATATAGATAGAGGAAGAAATACAGCACCTGATCTCTTTGTTTTTTCGTTGGTTTGAGAATTATTCAAGTATATATATATATATACATATATTTATGATAATGTGGAATGTAATTACAACATATGCGAGAGAGAGAGAAGAAAAATCAATATTCTTACTTTATTGTTTATCATTTATTTTTCCAAAGATAATTTATCATTAAAAAAAGACTGAATTTTCTTATCATAAGGTTAATGGTTTGACTTTATAATTATATGTAGGTTATATGTGTATATATTAACCGATCATTGAGAAGTGACCAATATTATGTATTTTTAATCTTTAGGATTAGTCAAGTTCTATATATCCAGTTACAATGATGCCTTAGGTTCCAGTAACTTGACAATGTGTGAACTATGTTTTCATGTCAAGTAATTGGACGTAGTCAAGGATAGTTTGTCCTGAAAAACTTAATGTTAACTTATCAGATTATAAAACTGCATGACTCAGATTCGTGTTTTATAAGGAGTATCGATCTGTTGTAGTTCTTGTTAACTCTTGTTGCCATGTGTTAACTAGCTTGAAATCTATATTTAAGGTTTCTCGATTATCTTTAACCCTTGGACATTTATATATACATTCCAATGAATTGATAGCTAAATTATCACGTTTATTTTGGAATCTGTCTCAAACGAGCTCATTTAATGCCTTGTTAACTATTTTTTGTAAATTCATGCTAATTAATATAACACTTATGTATTGTCTATCTTCAGTCTAGTGTAAGAATCATCATTTTGTAAACTTTTAAAGTGAATTTATCTAGTAACAACAGAAAAAATACAACTAATTATCTGTTGGAAGGTTACTTTAAGTGAAATATTTGACGAAATTCTGCCTACTAATAAACTTGTGTAAAAGTACACAATAAACGTGCAAATATTTTATTCATTTAAAAGTCCATTAATTTATTGATGATAACATGTAGTGTATAAAATGAAGATAGATTTGATCAATAGATATCATAGATAAAGGATAAATTAATTGACTTTATTTTATACTATAAGTACATAGATAATGCAAAGGACAATCCTTGAATAATCTTAAAAATCTATATTTAATAATTGTTGGTAGGTCCTGGGTTCGAATCTCGTGAAAAGTCCTACAATAGGACGAAATAGCCTTCCAGTGCTTCCAGGTTTTCTATGGTTGTCTAGCTTCAAATGACTCGTGATCTCAACTGTTGAAATTACTACAATGTCCACAAAACGCTTTCTGATACTAATTGTTGGTATGTTACATATTTTGTATATAAGTATGTGTAATGTCGTTGATTCACATTTTACCAATAAGTTATTCCATTTTTCTGACATTTCTTTATTAAGAGCATCTTATATCAACAATATATATTTATAAATAATTATAATGAGATCAGATTAATCAGAAAGACTATCGTTAATGGACGATCTTTGAACGACGCTAAAGTGGCCTTAAGAATGTTCACCTATGTGCTAAGGCTAAACGAGAGTTATAAACTTGTGTGAAGAATAAGGAATACGATTTACAACTGATGATTAGAGTTAGGATTTCGACTTAGAGTTTTCATCACGAACTGATATCAGCTAAAATGCCAAAATGTTATTTAGACAAATAATTGAATGAATTACGCACCAAAATCCAAGACTTGTTATCTAAATCTGACCCCAAATGCCCTGGTACGGCTGAGAGTGGGGAGTGTCATCTCCCCTTCTCGAACTGTTCTAACATGGCCACACATATATAGCCTCTGTCAGGGACGTCCTACTCACTGTATTCAAGTGGCCAAGGATGATGTTCATAAAATCGAGAGGATGAAAAGCGAATGTCCGGTGCTTTAACCGGGTTGGTGGACACGGAGGGTTCACATAGGGGAGTTGGAAAACCGCGATTACAAACCAATGGTGCATATGGGCTCCAGTATCCTGAAGGAACAAATGGCGTAGGAACCAATCGTTGGTCACCGGCTACCATGTGAATGCATCTCCTTATGTTGTTCCACTGTCTTATGTATTAGACCTTTATGTCGAAGGCTCCGAGTGTGGCCGCCTAAGAAAACCACCTGTTTCGGTTTAGGCACCCGGGAAGTATCACAGCCCTCACACAAATTAGGTGACTTGTGTGGTGCATATATATCTGGTTCCCCCTTGTACCAATATCTATCTGCATGAAATAAAATAAGTAAAATATTCTAAATCTGACTGATTCGTCCATAAATTATAGTCTTGCTGATTAATCACCTGAATTTAAACAAAAAAACCATACAATCCTCACAGTCATACACATTTCCTTCATTATGAAAATAAATGATACTGTGTCGATCTAATTATGCTTGGCTGGTAAATGTTTAAGTATATACAAGATAACTAATAATAGAGAAAACAGTAAACAGTAGCATTGAAATAATGTTGTGATTATTCAGAAGGAGTCTTTATAATTCAAAAGCAATTTTCCACAGAAATAATAAAACATATTAAAGTTTAATGATCTTAAAAGTTTCACTGGTTGAAATCATGAGTCAACTGAAGCTAGACCACCATGGAAAACCTGGAAGCACTGGACGGTCGTTTCGTCCTATTTTGGGACTCCTCAGCGGTGCGCATCCGCGATCCAGCACCCCGCGGGATTCGAACCCAGGACCTACTGGTTTCGCGCGCGAGCACTTAACCATTAGACCACTGAAACAGCCGGCATCCAACGGTGTTAATGTCTAACTTCAACCAATCCACGAAAATAGTAAACAGTAACATTGAATAATCTTGTGATTATTCAGAAGGAGTCTTTATAATTCAAAAGTATTTTTCCACAGAAATAATAAAACATATTAAAGTTTAATGATTTTAAAAGTTTTTTCTTTTAATTTTTCAGGGTTTATTATCTATATTTTACAATCTGAATATTGTAGAAAAATATCATTGAATACTGTTGAACTTATCACAGGGCTTATATATTTATTTCCTGAATCTTTCATATTAGCTATAAATAGTTTGATAGAATATTTATTGATGAACAAATTCATTGAAGAATTAACAAGATGTGGGTAATGAGACAAAGACAAGCGGAAGTAGTATATATATATATATATATATATATAAACATTAAATATTCTAACATTTCTACTTCACCATCTCATCCGTTATTCAGTTAATTGTTAGTAATAAACGAATTTATTTAAGAGTGTATTATGAACATAGTAATGTGAGATAAGAAATCATTAGTTTGACTAATATACCTATAATCTATGCATAAAGAATCACTTTATACATTTTATAAGGTCATTTCTATTCTTTGATAACTGAAATGGCTTCTTCTTAAACACTTAGATTTGTACGAAAATATTCTTAATTATTTTTTTTATTTTTTAGTTGATATGACATAAAAGTCATTCCTTTCTCTTTCTTCTTCTTTTTCTTCTTTTTTTTTTAACTTCTCTTAATAAATCCAACTTTGTTCTCTTGATTCTGATTGGTTAGTTTTTAAATGGTAATTTTATCCATAGATTTATATATGCTTAAATATTGATTTAAACAAATTAATCAATAATGAAAATAAATAAATAAATAAATACTAATAATAGAATCTTTTATTGCCCAACTCACCTATACATAATACATCTGAGAATGCATGTAAGAATTCAATAATCATAAGACAATTTCCAAACATTTTTCTAGTCATTCTATTACCTGGGATTGAATCCAATTTTGGTAATGGCTAAATATTTTGTAAAAAAAAGAAAAAAACAAGAGACACTACATATATATATCGCCAATACATTCAGTTAACAGATGAATATGCTTTACTCAATGATAAGATCACTAGACAGTGAGAACAAATGATGCAATACCACAAAAATAAACACACTTCCCATTGGATGGTGGTTAGAGGTAGTCAACAGGAAACCCTGTTGTCAGCGAGGTGTACCTGTAATCTTGAGGGAACTGGTGCTCCCTGACGGATTCGATCCTGTGTCACCCAACTTCACAGTCAGAGACGTTACCACTGAGCGGTAGCATTCGATCTGCATTAATAAGGAATTGACACACATGACATTGATCACCACCCAGTGACCAATCAATTGTGATTACATTCCTCATTGATATCAACTTGATGAGTAAATTAAACCATTTAATTAAATTGTGGTCAGAATTTCATTTGAAATTTCGAATGTAACATTGACAGTACTGTGTATTTTTATTTTTTCAAATCAATAATGTATACAGTAAACAATGATACATGAGATAGTGGTTACTGATGTGTTATGTTATTTAAATTTCTAAATTTTATGAATTCCGTTGAGAGAGGGAAACTTCACCTGCAGCCCCTCTGAGGTGACTGCCGGTCCCAAGCTCGGATAAAGGAGGGGGTTGAGCATAGGTTAGCGACCCCATCCCGTAGAACACTAACACGCTAAAAATACAAACGTCAAAACAGTCCTATTGTATGCGGCGGAAATCTGGAGAACTACGAAAGCTATCATTCAGAAGATACCACTATTTATTAACAGTTGTCTACGCAAAATACTTCGGATCTGTTGGCCAGACACCACACTATCAACAACAACCTATTGTGGGAGAAAACAAACCAGATTCGAGCGGGGAAGGGAATCAGGAAGAAGCACTGAAAGTGGATAGGACACACATTGAGGGAACCACTGAATCACGTCACAAAACAAGCCCTCACATGGAATCGTCAAGGTCAATGGAGAAGACGACGATTAAAGAACACATTACGTTGAGAAATGGACACAGACATGAGAAGAAAAAACATTTGGACAGACCTGGGAAGGAAGACCCAGGACAGAGTGGGTTGTAGAATGCTGGTCGGCGGTATATGCTCGATTAGGAGTAACAGGCGTGGGTAGGTAAGTAATTGAGAGAGCGATAAATAAATTTAAATAAACCGGGAGCCTTATAAAAATGAAGTACAACTGATCTTTTAAAAGCAGACTAAAATAATGAGAATGGTAAGCAATTTACAGTTTTGACAGACGGAATAAACTCTTGATACAAGGAATAATATATTTTTCAGCTTGATAATTCTATAACTGTATAATTAATTCACGAATATAATTTTAAACTGATATTAAATGTTTTTATAGATACTTTGGTTTCCAGCTAACAGTGGAATCCAGGACTTGTCAACTGAATATATCTGGATCCTAGTTTAGACATTCACAATGGCAATAGATTAGAATGAGAATATAATATCTACTACGTTACGAAGTTTATCTGTTATTCATCGACGTTATTTAATGTCTAAGACAAACTTCAAATGGTAAAAGTATGGTATATGAACGAGGTTGAGGACTTCTCAAAATGACTGCATAATTCCAAAATCATTTTTATTCTACTAACATAGAGCTATAAGTATTTTCCAACAAATGCATTGAAACCTGTTAAACTTTGGTTGGTTCAGGAATTTTACTGATTTTTCAAATGATATTATCAGTTTTTCGATCATTACATAAAATAATTAATTTGAGTGTTAAATTATTGACCCTAATGGATTATTTCTGAGCCCTTCTCATATTGATAAGTTGTTTTGTAGAACATTCATTCACAACGAAATCCTTACCAACAAATTCTTGAAAGAGTTATTAATATGTAGTTATAGGAGAAATATAGTTGCTGCCATACCTATTTTGGCATTCCTACTTCATCGATTTATCTACCATTCAGTGAACCAACGATCGAATGATTTCCTTGTGAGTAAATTGAAATGTGGAATGTATAAATTTCTTTCTATAGAACCTGAATTTGATGGAATATAAAATTATTCCTTTTTTGAAAATTGCACAAAACGCGAACAGATTTTTCTGTTTTGATTGGCTCACCCCTTACGAAATTTTTATACTTAGTCAAGAGTATCAACCTAGTTTAAACTTGGATTTCAAACAGTATTATAATCCCACTTATAATTTAATTTAACTTCCCTTTCAAAGTCACTAAAACCGTTGTTAAGAAAGTAGTGGGGGTTTGTGGAGATAGTATTAATTTAATAGTTGAATTCCTGAGTCGATTTAAGCTAGACCACCATGGAAAACCTGGAAGTATTGAACGGCCTATCCGTCCTAGTGTGGGCCTTTTTATCAGTGCGTATTCACAATCCCACACAAGAGACTCGGACCCAGAACTTGCCCTTTCGCGCGAGAACACTGAGTCCGCTGGCATTCAACGGTGTTGATGTTTAACTTCAATCTGTCCATGATCTTGCGCAACCAATCATCAATTGTCTGAGGTAGATACCTGTCTCTACCTGACACGACTTCTCACTAGAACTCCAGGAAATAGATCTTGAAGCCAGTTACTAGCATTAACAATAGACTACCATGAAATAACTTACTTTAGGATCAATCAGACGTAGGTCTTCCACTGGTCTCTTTAATTCTTGCTCAATAAGTTCCCGAATTTTCTATTAAAGAAAAATAAGGATTGTATCAACGAATATATATCATAAAAATTCATATCTATAGAAATATAAGAATATATGCCATATAATATGTTTAAATGGAAGTGATTTTCAGTATAAACATTATTTTCTCAGTAGGATGGTATTGACAATTACAGATGTATGATTTTATTAAGTGATGAAACTGAAAAGATTGTTTATGACGCCAACTCCTGGTTACTGATAACGAATATTTAGAACGTGAATAAATCATATTGTCAGTTACAAATCTGATTTGATATATGTAGTACTGTGGTAAACGAGAACACAGGCTGGGGCGACCAAATGTATTTCAATACTAAGTTACAGAATTTCTAAATGAAATCTGAGAATTGTGTAGTAAATAATTCATTTGCAAAATATCCACCAACAGTCTCAGAATTTGTGGTTTCTTTGTTTCCATAGCAATCACTCTCTGTGTTCATTTTCATCTTTTCGATTTCCTCAACCTTTTAACGTCAAGTATTCCTCTTTCGGTTAGTGATACATACTACTTATATCTGTCGACATCAGTAGCACACACCACAATACCATTATTCTGATTGCCAATGATGTGAAACTGCATTTCACTTTCAAAATATTACAAATTTTATTTTTATTAAATTTAAGGAATTCTTTTTCAGTGTGTCCAAATATTCATATATTTTAACAGTCACTTAAATAATATTCAATTAATACTGTATACATCACAGGTACTTGTATAAGTTATATCTTGTTAAAACACAAACTTAAAGGGATTGCTGAGTGATAAGTAATAATTTACATACATGTCTATTGAATTACGTCTTTTAGTATGGTATAATATCGGTTCGGTGGTCCAGTAGGTTAAGCGTTCGCGCGCGAGACTGAAGGCCCTGGGTTCGAATCGTGGATGCGCACTACCGTGGAATCCCACAAAAGGACGAAACGCCCGTTCAGTCCTTCCAGGTTTTGTGTGGTGCATATATATTTGGTGCCCTCTTGTACCAATATTTATGTGTTCAAATAAATAAATAATAAAATATTATCTTTAAATATGCACTTGTTTGTTCTTGAAAAGATTGTTTGACTAATTCAATTTTTTTTTCATGTGCAGTTTTTCGTTCTAAACTCTTACTTTTTTACATTATGAGATACGATGTGTGAAATAACATTTTTTTCAAAGCTGAATCTTTCAAAAAACTTTACGATTAACCAAGTATCAGTATGGGGATTTGTAGAGATGGTATTATTTTCACAGATTAATTCATGAGTCGATCTATGTTAGATCATCAATGAAAACCTGGAAACCCTGGACAGTTGTTTCATCCTAGTATGACATGAAATGACTGTTCAGTGCTTTCAGATTAATCAGTTATTGAAGTTATGGAGCAGTAGCATGAGTCTAAAGAAAAGTGAAATGTTTCATAAAAAGAAAAAATATATTTATCATCGATATGTAACTGGTAGTATAACGCGGGCTTTTCTTTTCCTTCAAACATGTTATGTGCATATACCTGAATCTCAGTGTTGACGTCTGTATTAAAACTTCAACTAAAGCTGACCAAACACGATCCTGAGTATTAATAACAAGGAATTACAAACACTTGTTTTAAAAAAACTTTTATTATTCATAATGATATTTTGCCAACAGACGTAAATGCAGAGCCTTAACTGTATTATGATCTGTTTATATCATATATAAAGATAATTAAAATACATTATAAACAATATCTTTTTAATGAATTAAGTAGTTCCTACATTTGTAGGTTCCATTTGTCACAGATTGATATCATTTAAGGTATAACGGATGGACATTGGAAAATGGTCTCATTCTAGTATGGGATACTTGAACAATGGCTAACTATGGACTCACAAACAGGAAAGTTCAGATATCACAATTAACGTTTGATAAAAACAACCACTAAGTGATTTAATGTTCTATGACTTGACCTTATCTTCAATCAATATGTGTTATAAGAAAATGATCATCCAATCCCACTGGTGATAACTGTTTCATTCTTAATGACATTAAACTTCACCAGAATTCTCCACAATAAACCTACATCCCTCTATTCAATTCCTGATAGGATTATAAGAGTACACTAATGAATTACCCAGCACTTGGGAACATTTATATATTGTTCCTGATTTTTACTGGTACAATCTACTGTTAGGGTTGAAGCTATCACGAGTTCACATAATCTGTGAACGAGAACAAGACTAGGTGACCAAAGACCAGTAAGCTAGCTATTGATGCGTCCCAGCCCCGCTAACTAGAGGGAGAATTCCAAACTTGGAACGGGGAAGTATATTCTGCAAACAGCCAGAAATGAGTGATAACAACAAACACACTTCAAAACGTATATATACAATAAAAAGCCGTCCTAGGGGAGAGTTACCAAATAGCATACTAAACGACGCAATGGACCAATAGCATTCAAGATAGTTCCCAGTGGGAAATACGACATAACGGTGACAAGAGCGCCTTCGACGCGAAAACAAAGAAATTCGAATTTCTAAATAAAATTACAACATTAGGTCCTTTCCCAAGTGAGTTCTGGGGATCTAACGTCTCCAACATCTACCAATTACAAAATCTCTTTCAACTAAATAAGTTTTTTTTCTTTTTTAATTTAAAAAAAAAACAATATTGCATGATCAATTAATTTTACTCACCATTTCTCTTAATTGTTTTTGTTCTTCTTTTATGAATTCATCTTTTTCTTTTTGTAATTGTTCTTGTTGTTTAACAAATTCAATGAAAAAATTTTTAAATATTCTTTTTCCTAATCAGAAAAAAAGAAAAAAGAAAACAAAAAGAAAGAAAAAAGAGAGAAATGTTTAATGATAATAAATGTATATAAATAATATTAAAAATAAACTACCGAAATGAAATATTTTGGCAGTAAACATAAATGTTTCGATTATAAGTAAATAAAAAAATTGGAATAAGGTTAAGTGATTGTATCAGAAGGGGTATTTTGGAGATTGTAATAATATCAATAGTTGAGATCATGAGTTCATTGAAGCTAGACAACCATGGAAAACCTGGAAGCACTGAACGGATACTCTGTCCTATTGTGAGATTCCTCAGTAGTGTGCATCCACGACCACACCTCGCGAGATTCGAACTCAGGACGTATCACTCTTTAAAAACAACTGAATGATTTTAAAGTTAATTTTATCTAATCAGAAAAGAGATTGTATAAATTATAAGTATTTTTCAACAAATGCATTGGATTCTGTTATAAGCTTAGGGATTATAAGAAGTTTATTGCTCGAACAATGGATATTGTCAACTTTCCGATTTTAATAATTTAGAGACCTCGAATGCTCTGGTATGGACGACGGTGGGGAGAGTTAGCTCTCCATCTCGAAATACTTTCACATGGACACGCTGACAGGGAAGTTCTGATCACTGCATTCAAGTGGCCGGGGATGCTGCTCACCAAATTGAGAGGATGAAGAGCGAATGTCTGACGCTTTGACTGGGTTGGTGGACATTGAGGATCCACCCAGGGGATTTAGAAAACCCTAATTCCACACTAATGGTGTACATGGGTTCCAGTATCCTGAAGGAACAAATAGTGTATGAACCAATTATTGGTCACCGGCTACCATATGACCGCATCTCCTTATGTCGTTCCACTGCCCTGTGTATTAGACCTTTAGGTTGAACGCTTAGGGAGTATGGTCCTCTGAGAAAACCACCCGTTTCGATTTGGGCACCCGGTCAGTATTATATGGGACACACAAATCAAGTGATTTGTGTGGTGTATATGTATTCGGCGCTCCTTTGTGCCAATATCTATGTGTTCAAATAAATAAAACATTCATCCGCATCTACAAATCAGTACTATTTAATTGACTGAAGAGTCATGGATATAGAATCATGAGAGAACTAATGTTGTTGCTATAGTTGAATGAAAGAATCACCGTTTGTTTCAACATTTCTACTTCATCAGTTCATCTACTATTTAGTGGATAAATGATTGAATGATTTCTTTGTAAGTAAATTAAAATGAGAACTGATTGATTCATGTGCTTATGTAAAATGTAAATTTATATACAGTGAGAACTTGATGCCAAAGAGGATCAGATGCAGACGTAAAGGCAAAGATTGGCAAAGCAAGGGCCGTATTCCTACAATTGAAGTATATATGGAACTCAAAACAACTTTCAACCAATATCAAAGTGAGAATCTTCAAAACGAATGTCAAGACAGTTCTGTTGTACGGAGCTAAAACTTCGAGAACTACAACAAGAAGGTACAAGTATTTATTAATAGTTGTCTACGCAAGATACTCAACATCCATTGGTTGGATGCCATCAGCGACAGCCTACTGTGGGAGAGAAAAAACCAGCTTTCAGCTGAAAAGGAAATTAGGAAAAGACATTGGAAGTGGATAGGACATACATTACGCAAATTGTCAAAATGCATCACGAGGCAAGCCCTAACTTGGAATCCTGAAGGGAAGTGGAAAAGAGGAAGGCCAAAGAACACATTACGTCGGGAAATAGAATCAGATATGAAAGGCATGAATAACAACTGGAAAGAGCTGGAAAGGATTGCCCAGGACATGATTGAATAGAGAATGATAATGGTCGGCCTATGCCCTTCCACAAGGTTTAGCAGGTGTAAGGGAGCACATGATACATTTCATATTATTATTTTCACTCTATGATATGAGAAAGAATTTGTGCAACCAACTTTAAACGTTCTATTTAATGTATAAAGTTATTTCCATCGAACCTATGTTTGATTTAGTATGAAATATCTTCTTTTTCTCACCATCATACGTTATACTTTAACCAATACTTCATTTCTTGAAACAAAATTGAAAGAATATCATTGAATGATATTATGATCAAAATACCTTCAACTTAATAGTACCCCCCATTTGACTTTTACAAGAATATCAAATAAGTAAATGGTCACTTCAATAATTATTGAATGATATTTTAAATTATAAAAAACTTTGGCAGATTTTTTAAAAAGTTTTTCCGATTATATATTGAACTGTTTCAATGTTTAATGGTAGTTACAATTTCACTACATGATTTGAAATAGTCACTATGATTCAGATTTAAAAGTTCACTCTACAATCTTCAGAGAAAATATGATAATCATTTTCCTTATACTTAAAGAAAACTCGTAATTCTAAAACAGTACTATTTTCCACCAGTCAGTTAGTTACAACGCACGACCAGGCACATACATGCATCGGCCCAAGTTGCCACACCTCACTCATTAGCACAACAAGATGAACACCGGATTCATAGAAGTAGTTAATTCAGTGGTGGTAATATATAAAAGAAAAATTGTGTATAAGGATATAGCACAGGAAGAAAGAATTAGTTCGTAGAAAGAATGATATGAAGCGATTTTAATCTCATAGTTTAAAGGAAGATATAGAGTTAATACACCTATGCCACTGTGATCGATTCCGAGCTATGTCACAAAGGGTCTCCAGCCATTGGTTACGATAGTCACGTGGACCCCAACCAAGTAGTCTGCATATCCCAACATGGCTCAGACTAAAAGTTAATGACTTCAAACACTGATGCCACGTTTTGGTTTGGCCGCCCTAACTTTCTTCCAACAGTCTTTCCAACACTACTCAGCATTGCGCGTCGTGATAATCGGTGTTCAGGCATACGAAACACGTGGCCCATTTTCCATGGTGATCTAGCTTCAATTGACTCATCACTTCAACTGTTGAAATTACTATAATATCCTCAAGAATCCTTTCTGATACTAATCAACATATGCTCACTGGTGGCTGACTTCAAGAGGTAGTTCCTGGAGTTCTATTGAGAAATAATGGTGGGTATGTCGCTCAATTTCGTTGATTGGTTGAAGTTAGATATTAACACCGTTTGATGCCGACTGGATCAGTGGTCTATTGGTTAAGCGTTCGCGTGACACCGTTAGGTCCTGAGTTTGAATCCCGCGAGACGAGGTGCACTGCTGAAGAGTCACACAATAGGACGGAGCGACCGTCGACTGCTTCCAGGTTTTCCATGGTGGTCTAGCTTTAATTGACTCATGATCTCAACTACTGAAAGAACTATCTTAGTATAAAGGCTTATATATGTGACAATATGAAGAGTTCATATTTTATATTAACAAAAAACTTACAGCTGAATTTTGTTGATACAGTGAATTTGTTGTGTTAGAAGAAAGATGAGAATAATTATCATCTGAACTGGATAAACTGGTTGATTTAAGTATATTTTCTGATGTACCATTATATAATCCATGATGTGTTTTTTCATTTGTTAGTTGATATAACTGTTGATTTTGTACTGGTACTTCCTGATTTTTTGTACTATTTAAACACATATCCGTTTTAGGATGAACTTGAGAAACATGATATGGAAACATTTTCACTTGATTTGGATCCATAAAAGAACTAGTAGGAGTTAAAGATGAATAGGTTAAAGCAATAGAAGAATTGATTTTTTCTTCGGATGGACAGAATGAATAACTAGTATCACATATGGATTTCATTTCAGTTTGACTTCCGATTTGCGGTAAACAGACTGAAAATGAATAGGAGCATTTCAGAAACTTGATTTTTAGAAATATATTAATATTCATATCATACTGAATCAACAATAATAGATAGTCACATTATTTCTAAATAAACCACAAACCTATAAAACTAATGTAAATTAATACGTCTAAATAGAACCACTAGGAACCTATCGGAATCATAGATATTTTGGTAAGAATTAAGAATAATGAAGTTTTTGCTACAAAACTCTCAATTATGATCGTAGTAGTTCTTACGTACAATAAAAGTTCAAATAATGTTAATCAATTTTCTTGAAGAGAACATCCAATTGAATTCAGAATTAAAACGAACAATTCCTGTAACAAGTACAGATCAATCGACAAGAAATGTGACCTGAAACATCAAATTTAGTAAGTTTTGCGATATCCAACAATAACAATTACCATATACTTGCAAATAACTAAAATCAATACACAATTCCCTGAGTTCTAGTCAGAAACCATAACTAGCGGAGTTCACTGATGTTACACATGAAACAAATAACACTAATAGTAAACGATAATGATTGTAAAATATCGTGAAAAGATTAAGATTAAGCATATATACTACTGGATGCCAACATCGCATTCAGAAAGTTAAGCTCTGTTAGCAAAACTTGAAATCTCTTAGTCCGATCCTTGATGAAGTCGTGGATAAATATTATTGAAAAGTCTCATCATAGAATAAAACAGGTATCTGTTGCTTCCTAGATCTAAATGTTTAACTAGTTACAATCAGTTAGTAATGTGAAAATTCAAATTTGTACATTTTCAGTTATACCTTGTAGTAAGAGAATTTTTCAATTGAGAAATTAATATAACAGACTAATTAGTTTATACTGAATCACTAACCTTTAGAATCAACAACAGTATTCAAATTACATTTTGTTGATGATGCACAATTATTTAAATTTGTTTCTGTGAATTCAGATTGGTTGAAATAATTTCCTGTTGTATTAGGCGCCTTCTATAAAAATTAATTCAATAGAAGACAGAATTACTTGGTCAATAAAGCTATATATATATTTATCCAACCATTACTAATAAAAGTGATGGAGTTAGAGAAGACAGTCAAATGAATCTTTTTACATGGAAACAAGATAATTATTCATAGGAAATGCTTAAAATCCGGCACTAAACACTTACTGGCTATAATGTGAATGCACCTTTAAAAGGATACAAATAATAATAATTTTAAAGCTACAACATGAGACTAACCAATATCAAGTCTTGTTTTGTTTTTCACTTAAAATGGACGACATCAACTCGACAACAATGATCTGTGTGTAATCAGAAACACCAAAAATGTCAAAAGTTCCCTTACTGATGATCAATATTCGTTACGAGCACAATGTATTCATTTATTTAGTAATCCCTATATATAAGCCATTTATAAAGTGAACAGTTATATTTTCCATCACACTAAACACTGCAGTAATGAATGGATTAAAAATTTAGAAGAATTAGAAAGGCTAACAGTCAACTACATTTTTAGCTTTGAGATTCATAAACTTCTAACATGATGGGAAATTATATCGAAATTAAATCTTTAACTGAGTCAGTAATACCGGTTTTATAAAACAACAACGGTATAGTCACTCAGTTTTGCTAACTGATAGGATTGCAATACACGAATCATTGAATATTGGTTCAACAGCCTTATGGTTAAACGCTCGTCACGATATCTGAATGTCCTGGGTTCGACCTTCATTGTGATCATCAATATGCACTAATAAGAAGTTGTATACTAAAACAAACATACTCTCTAGTACTTCCAAGCTTCAACTAGTTATCTAAATAAAATCGGTTAATTAGTAACAAACGTTAAGATCATTTTATTTTGTTGAAAATTAGAACTTTAGCGTGAATAAGTTTACTCTAACATAGTTTTCATTTAGAATACAAATGAATTATACGTAATAATAACCGTACTCAAAATATGTTAACGGTTCTGAAAAAATCGTCATTACAAAGTACTTGAACAGTAAAATGGCAATATTGTTTAATGAGATGATAATTTCTATGAAAAGTAACAAAACAAACTGGATTCAGGAGGTATTTCTTGGAGTTCTAGTGAGAAGCCGTTACCAGTGGAGTTCAACCGGGTTCGTTGTGAGATAGTAACTCACTGACGACAATGGTGAACGGTGGAGCGATTTCATGGATTAGTTGAAGTTAGACATTAACACCGTTGAATGCCGATCGGTTCAGTGGTTTATCGTGCGAAACCGTTCGAATCCCGCGAGCGGGATCATGGATGAGCACTGCCGAGGAGTCCCATACTAGAACGAAACGGCCGTTCAGTGGTTCCAGGTTTTACATGGTTTACTAGTTTCAATTGACTCATGAATTCAACTACTAAGAAAAAAATTATTAAAATCCCCACTAAAGAATCTAAGGTCGTTCAAAATAGCATTTTTTAAACATAATTACACGGTTATTTTTCTTCTATAAACTGAAGTATAATAATTCATGAACAAGTTGTTTTACATCTTGTGTAATTAAAACTATAGAAAGTTGGGAATGATAAAACCGTAGAACTGAGACTAGAATAGGTATCGATTTTTTCACTTATGGAATCACAATATTACAGTATAAGTCATAGTAATGTATCTTTTAGAAATTTATCTCGAATATGTTTAGTAGAGGTATTATACCTTTCGATTATGTTACGGATATTATCAAAAGAAGTAAATTGAAGTTTAACAGTAAGAAAAAGAATTTTTGAGATGAAGTTAAAGATGCAGAAGTCAAGATAAATAATTTCATTTTATGAAGGATGATCTCGATTACTGTTAGAGATTTATGGGCGGTTGAAATTTTCCTGTAGCTAACACTGTGGAAGGATACTTGTACTTAAGGAGCTTGAGAATGAAACTGGGTTAGTAATAATCTTCTCAACTTTGGGAGTGACATGAAAGCCCAAGGAATAAATGCTTGAGATTTAACATGCAATACGTCTTTGTGCGCATTAATTGATGTGCCAGCTCTGTTACTTTTCAGACAGTACCACCGGCTTTAGAAATCCATGAAGGAAGTTAAGTATATTTTTTTAGGACCGACATTTTTAACCGTTTTCTTCTTCCGTGATAAAACATCGTGACTGGAGATGCTGACTGTCTGAAAAAAAAACATTTGAAACTCGTCTTTACCAGTACAGTTCGGGGTACAACTTGCATTCAAAGTTCAGCTTGCTGCTTTTAATCTTACTGTTCGTCAGCCAATATGGTATCTAAGAGAACGAAGATGTTCCAGTCAGTATGACTTAAGCGGATCATTATGATAGGCGGATCTGACTACAACGTCAAGATAACAGCTACGATCAGGAACAGACACATCACAGATCATTCTGTGGTTTATTATTCGAACAACTAGTATATAAAGTAAGTTAACAATTTAAAAATAATCCGTTGGATAATTCAAGAATTCGATCCAATAATTCTCATAGATAGTTCTTTATTTCCTTTGTAATAATAAAATTAATCAGTTATTCGAGTTGGCAATCACTCGTAAACATTATTATTATTTAATAGTTGAATTCATGAGTCAGTTGAAGCTAGACCACTCTGGGAAACCTTGAAGCACTGGACGGCTGTTTCGTCCTAGTATGAAACTCCTCAGCATATATTATTTATAATATTTTTTTAATACTAATGAGAATTTTTACAGACAGTATTAGGAACAAAATTCATCCATTCTGTAGATTGTTATTTTTTAAAAGGCTGTTTAACTTAAACAATTCTATGAAATCTAGTATTATGTAACACATGAAAAGCAACCATTTGGAAAACAAACTTCTAAAGAACTCACATCTTGAGGGTTATTTTGATTACATAAATCTTGTCCAAGAGCATTCAAAAACATAACTCCTCCTAACATACCAATTTGTCTAACATTTTAGTAACATCTTGTAGATTCCATCTACAATGAAATAAACACAATTGTTTGTAATTATATTTAATCAAAGGTTCCTATAAACAAATCTTTCTAGTGAAGTTATTATTTTCTATGATCATTTTGTAGTTTACATGTTCAATGTGTGAATAATTAGTTAAATATAGTTTATATTAATTATCATAAATGAAAAATTCCGAACATAATAAATAAAACATTCACTTTAGTTTCCATTGATTTGTTTTTTTAATTAAAAAAAATTTGTTTCCATCATAATTTATTTTCATATTATTTGTTTAAACTTCCAGGTTATTTATTTGAACACATAGATATTGGTACAAAGGAGCCCCAAATACATATACACCACACAAATCACTTGATTTGTGTGTCCCATATAATACCGACTGGGTGCCCAAATTGAAACGGGTGGTTTTCTCAGAGGACTATACTCCCTAAGCGTTCAACCTAAAGGTCTAATACACAGGGCAGTGGAACAACATAAGGAGATGCGGTCATATGGTAGCCGGTGACCAATAATTGGTTCATACACTATTTGTTCCCTTAGGATCCTGGAGCCGATGTGCATCATTGGTTTGCAATCAGGGTTTTCTAACTCCACTGGATGGATCCTCAATGTCCACCAACCCAGTCAAAGCGTCAGACATTCGCTTTTCATCTTCTCAATTTAATGAACAACATTCTCGGCCACTTGAATGCAGTGAGTAGGACTTCTCTGGGAGAGTCTATATACGCGTGTCCATGTGAAAGTATTTCGAGATGGAGAGCTAACTCTCCCCACTCTCAGCCGTACCAAACATTTAGAATACATCAAATTTTTAACATCTTCACATCATTCTACTAAATGATACTTCATATAGATTTTTTTTTCTGAATATCTTAATTGAGCAAATCTATAATTTAGCTTAAACAATTCATGTTATCATAGTATATTTAAAAAAACAAAAAAAATTTTTTTCGGGGAGAAATATACAAAATCAATAAGGTTTTACAATCGCTGTACATATTAAATGAATTTAGATTTTTATTATAAGAAAAGAACAAACAAACAAACAGAACTATGGTCGGATAAAGAATATGACTATCATTATGAATTTTATACTTATGCGATAAGATCAATTACATAATATATGAAGACAATTAGAAATCTCTTTATCAAAATAGAAATGAAACAATTTCATAATAAATTTGGTTTATTTGTAAGAAACTAATACTTGAATCTTTTCATTCATATTTAGAACTGTAATGGATTAGTCTCTTATTGGTATATATTGGTGTATAATTCAGCCCCCCCCACTGCATAAAGCAAGTGACTATTAGAATTTAGTTGCTAAGTGGATAATACGATGGTGTTTGAAACAAATGGTATTTGAGTTCGGATCCCAGAGTGAATATAAATTCTGAGATGTAGATACATACAGTTGATGAATCCTAAATAGGACGAAATGTGTGTGTTGTGGATTCCACTGCTAGGCACTATCCATCTTTATTTATAAATATCATTATGGTTGTAAACAAAAAATATCATTATTTCTTTTCTTCTGTTTTTATGTGCATAGGGTAAATTTATTTTAAAATGTATATGAGTATAATATGTCCATTCGTAAAATATTTGCTTATTTAGCCCAGATTGATATTGAAATTCACAATTATATGGATATATGGCGTGAGACTGATAGGTCCTGGGTTCGAATCCCGCGGGGGTGGGATCGTGAATGAGCATTGCTAAGGAGTCCCGTACTAGAACGAAAGGGCCGTCCAGTGCTTCCAGGTTTTCCATGGTGGTCTAGCTTCAACTGACTCATGATTTCAATCTGTGAAATTTCTAAAATCTCCACAAAACCCATTCTGATATATGGATAATTGTTTGATTGCTAAACTATGGAAGTATATTATCTGGTTGTAGCTAGGATAAGGAGCATGAGTAATGGACAGGTGATAGATGAATGTGAACGAAATATTATGTTATTATCGAGAAGATTAATCAGTTTGATTTTTTAAGTATTGATTTACATTGTATCGCTTCAATCATGAAAACAGTATTCGTTTTTGACCAACGTGATTGACAGTGAGATGATAGAGAAGATTTGGTGGGGTTTCGTTGTCTGAATTGGATGGCTTAATCTTTAGGTTTACATTGTTCTTCTGAATAACATCACCAACAGAAACTTCCCTTTGAAGTTTGTCCTGATGAGGTTGTTCAGAAGAACTATGAAAGTTTCATGGTTAATTCATTTAGGTTAAGAAATGAAACTCATCTGCTGGTGAAGAGGAGAAAGACAATAGTATAGCTATCTTTGATGTCTTACTTTCTAGAAGGATAGATGGTTCCATAAAAAGAAAGAACACATGGACAGGTTCGTATACCTATTTCCGTAGCTTTATATCTCTTCAATACAAAACAAAGTTGGTTAAACGTCTTAATCACAGAATCAAACTAATATGTTCTGAAAATAGTGTAGACAGCGAAATAGATACACTAAAGAACACGTAAAGAAATAACGGCTATCCAGATAACTTCTGCAGAAAATCCCTATTAGAAGGTATTAAAAAAGGATAAACTGTGACTCAATCAGTAATAAAACCTTGTTTTCGAAACTGGACTTTGAAGGAGACATAGAAGGGACATTTTAACATGTTGACTCAAAAGATCTGTTGAAAGGACGTTACACGCCTCCAAGTTACATGTAATTTTCTCAACTAAACCACTAGTTACACAACAAATCCAGGATAGATTACCGTTGATGGGCTCCTCCATGTGTGTATACCAGTTCAGCTGCTCCTGTGGAGCTATTTATATGAGCCGTACTCAGAGGACTTTATCCTTGAGTGTTCGTGAACATGTGCCAGCATGGTTGGGAAAAGGAGTTACTAAATCGATCGGCAGTACTATTCTTTCTAACTTGGTAGATAATGAACATCGTATCAAAATAGAAAAAGCTTTCTTTGTTTTATATCAAGTTCCAAAGAAATCTACCTCAAGGAACTGGATTACGGCTATTCTACATAGCCAAAGTCATCTGAATCAACTTCAGAAAACCGAACTTATATATCCAGAAAAGGTTTATCCAGCCTCTATGTTTACATTGGCCTACGACTGGATTACCAGGTACCCAAACTAAATATTATAAACCTCTTACCTCCCTCGCTCCCTTGTTTTATTACATCTATCTTAATCTTTACATCCATCTTTCTCAATTTACATGAGTTCTTCTTTTATCGTAATTACCTTGATGACATACCTCTTATTGCATATTATAACCACACAACGATCTTATCATTATTATGTTATATCGATTAACAAGATGAAATGTTCCTACTATGCATTTTATCCACATGATTTTTTCCTCATTTTCATTTTATTATTATATTGAGTGTGACTTGACACTTTACTCCAAATCATTCTGACCTTTATTGAATGACCTTTCTAATTGTACAAATAACATAATTTTAAAGTGATCTATGTCGTAACAGATGCAAACGTTCACCATGATTAACAAATAACATTGTTAAATTCATTAATACATGCCTTATTTTGGCCTTTGTTAAAATATGGACTTATAACTGTAGAGCCTGATGATAAAGTTATTGAAAACAGTCGTTCGTTTAAATATTCATCACTTTTGTAATAGTTTTAACGGTTGGATTGTTAATTAATTTAGTGAGGAATTCACAATATGAAGCTTTTTTTAACGACGCTCGAAGCAAACAGTGACTTGTTTCAACAGTTGAGATCATGAGTCAATTGAAGCTAGACCACCATGGAAAACCTGGAGCACTGGATGGCCGTTTCGTCCTATTATGGGACTTGTTTGTTACTTTATGTCACATTGTAAAGTGAAAATAACCTTATCATCTTCAAGTTAACTTATATCAAGTTCTGCAGTGATAAACTTTCAGATTGTAATGGTTTAAGTATTATAAGTCTTATTTCCTTTCGAATTCAATTATAGTTAAATTAAACGTTTCAAATACGGACGAGATAATATACATTAGTCAGTCAGCTACAACGTAGGACCAGGCACATATCAGCACCCTTCCTTGTGACAAGACATTGCTGTTATGCTAATTGTCTGAAGGAAACACACTACCGCCGTCACACCCTCTGTACAGTAACCAGTATAGAGGTCGCCCTCAGACCTTGGGTTTGCTGCTTTTAGTCTTACAGTTCTTCAACCGACCTGTGTGGCATGGTACGAGCTTGAGGAACGATTGTTCCAGCCAGTATAGCTCGATTGGTTCATTATGATAGGCAAGCTCGATCACCACATCAAGGTAGCAGTAACGGTCGGGGAATATACATTAAATGTAATATCATATCTTATTCAAGTTTGAGACAAGTCATGTATTAGTAGCTACTAGTATAAATCACAGTAGTTTTTACAGTGAATATATTAGATATCTTGTTAATTATAACAATTTTAAAGTGATGGCCTAATGGTTAAACAATTTGTGTTTGAAACAAAAGGTCAAAGGTTAGAGTCTTTCTACATTCAATTTTAATTTAGCAGTTGGATAGTATATCATCACATAAACAATGTGTTACAAAAGCTGAGTAACATAAACGAACTTACTCGGAATGAACTGGGACATGTGAACTTGATTGTCCATGGGATATTAAAGACGGATTATTTGTATCTGTAAATAGAAAGATAAGAAAATTATAGAAAGACGATAAGTCGCGTGTAAGATAGATTGTTACTTTGAATTTAATGTTAATTTATATCCATTGATAGGTTATTTACTGCAGTAGACATCATTATTTTGGCTTAATGGTCTTTAGAATAAAATAATGTTGAGACAGGTTTTAAGATTTATTGCATTCTATCTAGCTTAACAATAATTTTGTGACCTATTAGTTAGGTTAGTTTGCTTCATGAGTCATGCTAATTAGCAACCACTCAATAAGTTTAAGGTTTCAGTTTTAAAGTTATGAAATAGATGATCATTTTGTAACCAATACAAATGGGCCAACAGATCATCAACTTAACTGATAAGCATTTGTTCATACTTCAGGTATCCAGTAGTTAAAAAACAAGATCCTACTAGTGAGTTATACACTTATTAATATACATAAACTTGGAAGAAATATGACTGAAAGTTATTCTAGAGTACTGGAAGTGTTTATAGGTAATTACAAAACCAATGAATTTTAGCAATATCTAACAGACTTAGCATTTATTTGTATTATAATTTTCATAAAAAATTGACTGAAATTTCTTGGTTTACATTGATGACTGATGTCAGTTTGACGATGATTGACTGCTGTTTTGTACTAGAATGAGATTCTTCAACAATCCGTGTTCATGAACCCACCGGGGACCCAGAACAAACAGGTCTTGTACGGAATGCTTAACGTTCAGACCATTGAGTTGTGGTTTGTGTGTCTAACTTCTATTATTTCGTTACATTGTGCAACAATCACTCACTCTGTTTGATGGTTAATTCACATTTAACATCGTTAAACTCTACTGGTCACGATGAAACGATGAATTATTGTTTGTCTTTACATCCATAGTACGAATCTACAAAGAATAGAAACAGTCTACGGATTTGTTTTCTTACAGAATATTTTCTCAGGTTTATTCTAAGGTGTAAGTGGAACTATTAGGAAAGACTTCGTTTCCACTACAGATCTCCAGAACAGATGATGCATCAGATACACAGCTCTACAGACTTTGTTGCATGAAAACAATCTTCATACTACTGGAGTCATTGACTGTAATTTTATTAAATTATAAAAAGATAAGAACTCCTTGCTTGACTAAAGCTGAGAAAATATTTAAAAAGCAGTTCAATGACCAAGCTAGAAATCAGGTGGGAAATTACTGTAGGTATAACAGATAAACGAAATTAGAAATTAAGTAATTTAAGCCCTCAAATGCCCTAGTACGGCCGAAGGTAGGAAGAGTCAGCTCTCCCTCTCCAAATGTACACACATGAACACGTGCGTACGACCACTGACAGGGAAGTCCTGCTGATTGCATTCGAGTGGCCGGGGACGTTGTTCACTAAATTGAGAGGACGAAAAGCGAATGTCCGGTGCTTTAACCGGGTTAGTGGACATTGAGGATCCACCCAGGGGAGTTAGAAAACCCTAATTGCAAACCAAAGATGCACATGGGTTCCAGGATCCTAAGGGAACAAATAATGTATGAACCAATTATTGGTCACCGTCTATCATGTGACTGCATCTCCTTATGTTGTTCCACTGTCTTGTGTATTACACCTTTAGGTTGAAGGCTTGGGTGTGTGGTTCTCTGAGAAAACCACCCGTTTCAATTTGGGCACCCAGTCGGTATTATGGGGACACACAAATCACTTGATTTGTGTGGTGTATATGTATTTGGGGCTCCTTTGTACCAATATCTATGTGTTCAAATAAATAATAAATCATAGTCCATAGAAAATTGATGCACTTACCAGATAGTTTAGAAGCTAAATCTGAAGTTGTGCTCATATTTACAATACATGAATCATTGTTATCAACCTCAGTTTGATCTTTACAGAATTGTTTGTTTGAAGTGATTCCTAGGGTACTATATGCCAACTGGCTAGCTAATGTTGCAAGATCACCTTTACAGTCTGCAATACTTTTCAGAACATCGTCAATAGTTTCCTCCACACTCGATTCATTCCTATCAGTAGTTGTGCTAAATAACTTTTTTTCTTGAGAATCTGGTTCAATTTTAATTTTTGATTCACTGAAACACATAGAACCTGGGAATATATTCAAATCATTCATATCAGTAACACCATGTGTGTTGCCTTTTGGTTTAGAAAACGACATGATGAATTCCGGTTTCATTTGAGAACAGTTTTGATCGCAGTGAGATATACTATCAGACACAACAGCTGAATTTCCTCCAGTATTGTCCTTAAAAAAGAATGAAAGATCAAAGAGTAATTAGACTATACGGTCAAAAGAGATTAAATTTACATGACACTTAAATGGGATAGTGAACTGGCTGAGTCACCACTATCAACATAGGGTTTAGCAGAAGTGTGTATTGGCCTAAATTGTCCTACCGTATCATAATGACGAGACGAAATTAGCAGGAAGCATAACAAAAGAGATCGCAATAAAGTAGTAGCAATAACAACGAAAAAGACTAAGCATTGAGAATAGGATTCTAAAGGCAGCATGTAAAGGTATGCATGGACGAATACTGGGATTCACAATTGAGAGGAAGATAAAAGGTAAGTGCTTTTGGGGCCATTATTAACTATTACGAGTCAGACAATTCAAAATCTTCAGCCCTTGACTGCAGTTATTGAACGGACATCAACTGGCATGACTCAGATCAACAGTCAATGACTTCATAGATTGATGTCATGTCTTTCAATGACCACTGCTAGCCTTCTTACAACCTATTCGTACACCAGTGGACATCATCTATGGAAGTAAGCGGCGGTTAGGCTTATGTAGTGCGTGTCATAAGCATCTCGATCGACGAAGATTAATAAACTCGTCAAACGATTTTCCACCCTTACCTAGTGCCCTATGTCTCAACATTGCTCACTCGGTCATTCCACGAAACGTCAGCGATACTCCGATGATAACGGCCGGCAGAAAACTATCGACGCATATCTCATACATCCAGAGACCATGCCTCACAACCATAAAGTAAGATTGCTGAGCAGTATACACGTCACAAGTGAAGTTAGAAAACATTAATCGAACTTTCTGAAACCGCGCCAAGATTTCGTCAAACAATAGCTGAGCATTTAGTTGTTTTCGATTTCCCCCATATTTTTATGCACGAAGTTCTCTTCGCAATAGTACTGAATTATGGTGAAAAATCGATGTGAAAACTTAATCAGGAAACAAAATAACTAAGTTTTATTCCAGCTAATTTGCATATTTTTATGATGTTAGTTAAGAAAATTGTCTGTAATCCATTCTATGTTTTAGAAGCTGATATAGGGGTTTTTTCTCTGAACAAAATTCATCAACCCACTTTTTTTTTCATTACTAGCAAAGTCGTTGAGGTAATGATATTAGAATTGATTTTTGCTTGCTCATTATCACTAATATTTAAACTATTTAATACACCACATTATACTTGTTATTGTTGTGGTGAAGTAAACAATCTTACTACTTAAATCTAGTATACCGAAAATTAGTTTGTATCTATTAATTTATACAACTAATTATAGTTATAACCTGTTTGCTACTTTAGGGTATTCTTCATTTTATTGGGATCATGTTATTCCATGGTTGAACTACCTGACCACTTTCAGATGTTCCAGATGAGCTTTGCCTGTTTTAGTACGCTTACATTAACTTACATCACTAACAAATCCCTAGAAATGTTCTCTTTATGGATTCTCTTGTACTGATAACTAAAAACTGAAAAGTATAGTTTTTTTGTCAGCTTTTTACAATTTGAGAGTGAACATTTCACTTGTACAACGTCACATTAAGTCTTGTTATGCATTTTTCAGCATCGATCAATAATCTACTGGAAATGACATTATCTCTAAGCCTAATAGCATTATTTAAATGTTAGCTTAAAGAATTTTATCACAAATGTACCGTTTTTAATTACAATGTGTATACAATACTGTAAGCTATACCTATGAAATGAGAACAAATCTTCGATTTTTAAAGAGGAGGTTAGGAATAGGGAGCATGGAACTTGGATGCCAACTATGGGGAAAGTAAGCCTGTATGTTTTTGTTGTACAACCATCAAAGAACTGCTTCATGGTATTTTTTTACATAGTCTCCATTGTAACGTATTTGGATTCATCAAATATTGTCATATCTTTTACCGTCCATAAACTATAAATCAGTTAATTATGTGTTATTCAGCTAGGTTTTAAAATGCCCTCTTTGAATATTCATTAAGATCATAAAATATAGTCTTGTGTCTAACTAATATAGACACGTCAGTTGTGATGTGAAATAATAATTGTACTGAGACTAATCCTTACGACTTCTGCTATTCAGATTGGATGTTGGGAGCCATGAGAATCAGCGTGACATGTGGATTCGGTGACAGGTACAGCAACGGCGTTGGCATAACTACTGTTAGTGACGTATATAAGAGCACAGCAGACTCAATAAAATGTAGTGGGAAAGATAATTTTGTATACTGGTTGTGACATTCGTCACTTAGTTCCATATAAAACTAGTATCAGTTATTAAGACATTCTCTACAAACTACTCAAATAATGTACAATCATGTTCTGTTATAATCATTTACCCATCTCAGATCCGTAGCCTAGAAGTGACATTACGAATGACTGTGATTCCTTGTTGATTAACATTCTTTGGAATATTCGGAAAGCCTTTATAACTTACATTATTTCATTCTTAAACAAGAATTTCATGAAGCAGTTTTATTACAGACAATAAGCGATTTATGTACATTACATGTGACCAATATACAAAAGTCAGTAATCAGTCTTACTAACCTGTGGTTGTCTATCGTTGTGAGTTGTCAACTTATCTCGTTTGTGCTGTTGTTGTTTACTTTGTGTTTGATATTGTACACCAGCTAATTTTGGTGGTCTACCTCTACCACGATGAGTTGTTGTAGATGTAGTCGGTTGATCTGACTGATGATTTCTGCTAGTCGTTCTTTGTCTTCCAGATAACTTTTTTGTGGTAGTAGACTTTGAACATGAGAGATTTGTTACTTGCTGTGATTGTTTCACAGATGTATTCTGTTGTCTATGTGACAACGTCTAAGGAAGTAAGATAAAGCAGAAGAATATAACTTAATGATATAAATTAAAATTTATCAATATGGTAAATTATCTAATGACTTTAAGTTTACTAACTGAACAAATTGAACACAATATGTACTTCACGATCTGTGTTAACAATACAATGGAATATTAAAGCATCACCTGTTGAGATACCTTATTTGGTATATATATATATATTTATGATATGGTAGAAAAGATTTTTAGTTCAGATGAATGATTTTGGTGGAGTTTTATTCTCTGAACTGGATAGTTTGGTTATAGAGCTCTCATCGTTATTCTGAACGACATCATCAGCACAAAATTCAGGTAGAAGTGAAGTGTTCGAATTTCTCCACATATGGCTCACAGCTTATCTTGTAGACTTTGATTATAACGATGAAAGTTCCACGACCAATCCATTCAGCTCAGAGAACAAAACCACACCATATGGTATATATATTGTGGAGAATGTAGTAATATCAATAGTTGATATCATGAGTCAGTTGAAGCTAGATCATCATGGAAAACCTGGAAGCACTGGACGGCCATTTCGTCCTATTGTGGGACTCCTCAGCAGTGCGCATCCACGATCAGTTGTGACATAGGAACTCACTGATGACAGTGGTGGATATGTCGCTCAATTTCATGGATTAGTTAAAGTTAGACATTAACACTATTTGATGCTGACCAGCTCAGTGGTCTAGTGGTTAAGCGCTCGCGTGCAAGACTGATAGTTCCTGGTTTCGAACCCCGCGAGCGAGATCGTGGATGCGCACTGCTGAGGAGTCCCAGAACAGGAAAGAGTGATCGTCCAGTGCTTCCAGGTTTTCCATAGTTGTCTAGCTTCAATTGACTCATGATCTCAATTCAAAGATTGCATTTAATCAATTTCTATTGCCTTATGTATATTAACAACTGAACTTCACGAAAGATTAATCTATTGGATAGATTGATTTGATCCACTTTAAATATTTAAGTTTCTAGAAATAATCTACACTAAAATAACTCAAGTAATGATTCATCTGATCATTAATATAATTATCAGAAGGGGTTTTGTGGAGATTTAGAAATTTCACAGATTGAAACCATGAGTCAATTGAAACTAGACCATCATGGAAAACCTGGATCAGCAGTGTGCATCCACGATCCCGCACCCCGCGAGATCCGAACCCAGAATCTATCAGTCTCGCGCCAGGCGCTTAACCAACTAGACCACTGAGTCAGCGGTGTTAATGTCTAACTTCAACCAATCCACGAAGTTGCGCCACCGTACACCACTGTGGATGTGTACTGCTAAGGAGTCCCATACTAGGACGAAACGGTGGTCTAGCTTCAATTGACTCATGATTTGAATCAGTGAAAAACTAACATAATTGTCAAATAAATGAAATGTCACATATTATGTGATCTGTAGAATAATTTCATATATTTATCAATCGTCCTAATATATAATAACACTTCAATGTAACCATTCATATCTCAAAAAAAAGAAAAGAAAAAGAAAAAAGAAAGAAGAAAGAAACTTTTATGCAGAATATTTTTCAATCCAAAGCAAAATTATTTTTTTTGTTGTAGTAAATATTTATTTTCTATTAAATCACAAGGGATTGGTTAGTTTTTTTTGTTTTTGTTGTTGTTGTTGTTTTGGTTTCTTTGATTTTATGATGTTGGGCTAAATAAATTTATGTCTTTGTGTGAATATTTCAAAGGTTCATATTATGATAAAGTGTTTATTCTGACTATAGTGAACACATTTTTGTTTTTAACCTAATTCATTTATTCAATGACCTTGACCATAAACTTGGATAGGTTAGACTATAATTATTATTATTATTTTTTTTAATTTTTTCTTTCCTAGTTAGACCTAAGAATAAAGGAAACTTGAAATTTTTGATCGAATTGTATGTAAATAGATTGATTTTTTCCCATCCTTGAATATTGAAATGACTTTTAATATGAATCCAATTATAGATCTATTACTTTATGAATCCAATTCAACCTCTAAATGCTTATTGTTTATCGATTATTATGACAAGTTATCATTGATATAGAAGTGTTTTGAGCGAGGATACGATTAGATTAAGGAAAACTATCCAATTATTGATTGATAGTTAATGTAGAGAATAATCACATTTTTATTTTAACAAGAAAAATTAATTCATTTTAAACTTACTTTATCATTATAACTAGTAGAACTATTTAAACATTGACCTAGAAATGTTAGAACATCATTGAATGATTCTTTTGGTTCTGTATTCAATGGTGTACTAGGAACAGTAGATGAATTTATTGACTGTTGATTTGTATTATAATTAAATAAACCACTCTGTGGTAGATTTAAACCATTGGGTTGATCATTTTGAACTGTAAATTAATGGATAAAATTACAATGATAAATTGAATAGTTAAACAAGAATAATTTTATAATGGGTTGTGGAGATTATTCACTTTCATTGAAATGATAAACCGATCTAGTTTAGACAACTCTGACCGTTTTATCCTAGTATGAGATACCTTTGAAGTGAGCTTCTACGAACCCGCACTTGACAACTGAAACTAAGGGTCTTGGGTTCGACTCTTACATGTGGGGTTGTTCAGGTAGTTTCATACTAAAACGAAACAGTCATCCAGAGCATCCAAGTTTTCAATCGTTATCTAATTTGGATAGGTTCATGATCTCAACCTAATTACAGACACTTTGTTATTGTTAATATAAATAATAAAATTATTAAAATGGGGTTTATATTAGAAATAAGTTAGTTTACCTGAGGTTTGACCAGTTTTGTAGCTACCATACATAGCATTCATAATCATCATTAAAGCTTGAGCATAGGCTAAACTATTTGCAGAAGAAATACTAGTTTTATCATTTAATGAACTGATATTATTTGATGCAGGAACAGAGGTATTTAAGATCATTGGGTTAACTGATCCAGAGGAACAATATAATTCATTAGTAGATGTTGTACTATTTAAAGGTATTGGATTTGAATACTTCAATGTATCAGAAATATTATCTGAAAAATACATATTATTTTGTCGTTGTTTTTGATTTTCTGCTTGAAGATTACAAATATTATTGAATATTTGACCTGCTAAAATTGAATTATCATTGTTTGTAAAATGAATTGATGGATTCGATTTAGAACTTAAATCTGTTAAAGTGACATCTTGTGAAGAAATTGTAGTTGGATGATAATTTCCAGGAATATTAATACCTGGTATATCTGTAACTAATGTATTAGATTGAGATATAGAATTAACATTAAAAGAACTAGATTGTCCTATATTCAATTGATTATATATTTGATTTAAAAATGCTAATTGTTGTATATCTTGAATACTTAATCCACTTGATGTATTTTGAGTTTCTTTAATAATTGGATTAGTATAAGCTGTAAATAAAATTAATTAAGTTTAATTCATATGATTTCTAGGTGAAAATAGTATCTCTTTATTAAAAAACAAATAAATGTTAGCTACTATTGGAAACAAAGTTAGTCAGTCAGTAACAACGTAGAACTTCGTACGTACGTTCATCAGTTCGAGTTGCCATACCACATTAGCACAGAGATGCAATTGTCGATTCAAATCCCGTAGTGGTAGAGGTAGTAAGAGTATGAGCAATAATCGGGAAGATTAGGGTTTGGAGATGTTATTTAAAGAGTATAATACAGTGAAATAAATTTGGGAAGAGAAAAAAGAGACAAGGAGTAATCAGGAGATTAAAATTTGGGAGAACAAAAAGAGTGGGTGCACCTGCGCCATTGCAAACGATTTTGAGTCATGTCATTCAGGGTATCTAACCATCGGTTGCTATCATCTCGCGGTCCCCAACCAGGTAGTCTACACCTACCAACATGACTCAGTTCACTTGTCAGTGACTTCATGGACTTGTGCTATGTTTTGGTTTGGCCACCCCTAGCTTTCTTCCAACCTACTCCTACACTGTAAAACATAGCACGTCGAGGCAGTCGGTGGTTGGGCATACGTAACACGTGTCCCAGCCATCTCAACTGATGAAATTTCACTTCATCAGTCGATTTGCCATCCTTACCTAGTACCCGTTTCCTAACAACTACATTGCTTACTTGGTGGTCCCAGGATATATGAGCAATGTTTCGAAGACACCTGTGATCGAATACTAGTAACCTACGAATATCCTCTACTCTTACTGGCTATGTTTCACTGCCATAAAGTAAGACGGAAGGAATTGGAAACAAGGACACATGTTTCGTCTTATTTAAAACTCGCCAGCTAAAGATACCTGCATCCCAATTTTTGTATTGATATTAAGAATCAAACTGTTACTAGCCACCATCTAACTTATATGACTAGATAGAAGGCAATCCATCCAGGACGCACATTTATCAATACAGACTGATAAATTGCAGTCGGTAATATCCACTAAAGTAAAACATAAATCCTTATACATTAAACGAACCATTAAAAATAATGAGTTATAATCACTTATCTCAATTGATAAATTATTGAACTGTTAGACAATAAAACTAAGAGGTATAAATGAGGATTATCTAACATAAATATTAAGAATAATAAAACTATAATCTATTATCAGTGTTCTGTTCTCTAAACTGCCCCCAAATGCCTTGTTATGGCCGGAAATGGGGAGAGTCCCCTCTCCCTCTCCAAATGCTCTCACATGGATACGCGTATATAGCCTCTGTCAGGGAAGTCCTACTCACTGCCTTCTCGTGGCGGGGGTATTGGATACGAAAATGGGAGGGCGAAAAGCGAATGTCCGGCGCTTTAACCGGATTTTAAAACAATGGTTCACATGGGCTCCAGGATCCTGAGGGATTAAATGGCGTATGAACCAATCGTTGGTCACCGGCTACCATGGGACTACATCTTCTCATGATGCTCTATTGCCTTGTGAGTCAGACCTTTACGTCCAAGGCTCGGGGTGTGGCCCTCTAAGAAAACCACCTGGTTCGGTCTGGGCACCCGGGCAGTATTACAGTCTACTTACAAATCGAATGATTTATGTGGCGCATATATATTTGGTGCCTCCTTGAACCAATGTTTGTGTGATTAAATAAATATTCTCTAAGCTAGATGATTTACTTATGAAACTTCCGAGTTTGAATTTCTAGACAATGTCATTAATAATTACTTTAAGAATATGACATTGGAGTTATAAATCTTTTCCTACAATTTAAAGTTTAATATTCTAACATCTATTATTATCATTATTATTTTGTAAAAAAGCGAATCAAAAACAATCTATTGAATAATTCAATCAACCTATTTTTATTGATTGAAAACAGTTGTGAAAAAAAACATCACTAAACTTTTATTAGTTACCACTTGGCACAACATCTTAATAATAGTAATAATTAGTTATTTAAACATATAAACATTTGTACAAGAAGGCAACAAATACATATGTGCCTTATTCGGTTTCTGTGAGGGCTATGATACTGCCCGAGTACCCAGACCGAAGTAGAGGATCACACCCCCAAGCCTTCAACCTAACGTTTTAATCCACAATGCAGTGGAGCAACGTGGGGAGATGCAACTACATGGTAAGTGGTGATCAACAACAGATTCATACACCATTTGTTCCTTCAGGATACTGGAGCTTATATACATTATTGATTTGGAATCAGGGTTATCCAACTTCCTTAGGTAAATCCTCCGTATCTACCAACCGGTTAAAGCACCGGATATTCACTTTTTCTTTTCTCAATTTTGTAAACAACAAAATAATAATAATAATAGTAATAATAATGAGGATACTAGTAATGACAGTAGTAACAAACTATCAGAAAAACTACTTTGTACTGAACAGAAATATATTTTTAGTATATTTGATTATGTTAAACGTTGAAATTATCGGTATAGCGGTTGTGGAGATTATTAAGTTGTTGATTGAGATCATGAACCCATTCCCATCTCACAACTGACCGTAGATGCACACTGCTGCGAAGTCCCACAATAGAACGAAACTGCCGTCCACTGCTTCCAGGTTTCCAACGGTGGTCTAACATCAATCGGTTCATGATCTCAATCAAAAACTTTGAAATTGTCAAGACAAAATAAACTAGAACTATCACTAATGATTTAGTTAAATAGTAAAGATTTAAAAAACTATATTGAGTAATTCAATTTATAGACATCTTATTAAAAAAATACCCAATAAAATAACTTTAGAAAAGGGATACATCAATGTCACAATTATTTTCGATAAGTGAACATTTGGAACAAGATTGGAATTCGCTCATTTTATTTATTTACAAAAGTACTTGCTTAAGATCGGCAATTGAACGGTAAGTAATTATAGTCTTTGAAAGCTTTTTTATGACTCTATCACGTTAAGTAACTCCGCCTGGAGTCCCTCCGAGGGCTACTGCTGGTCTCAGGCCCGGATAAAGGAGAAGGGTTAGGCATGGGGTTAGAAAACTTACTCGCTAAAAAAACGCTAACCAGAAAAAATTATTCAAACCTTTTGAACTCTGTCCTGGGAGTCAGAAGGTTTTCATTTAGAACAACTATGACGCCTCATGATGAAAGCCGAGTTCCTACCACAAGTGGTTGAATATACAATATGAATTTATGCATCTTGATATGTCATATCCAATAAGTAGAACCAGTTCTGTGAATAATTAGATAATTTGGAGGTAAAACATTCTGTACATATTTATTTATGTTTAGAAACTTAAAAATAAGAGTGTAACTTACCAAGCATTTCCGGTAGCATCCTTAGATTATTCCAAAAATTCATATTTGTGAACCACTAAGCATATTATGATTCGGAACATTGACATTAGTTCCACTTAAATATTCCATTTTATTTCCAAATATTCGATGTTCTTTCATGACCGATTGTGGTTCTTTACCATTTTGTTCCATTAATAAAAGTTGCATTTGAAGTTGTTGCAATTTTTGTTGGTCATCAAGATAAGGGAGGAAATTAGTATTTGTTGGAAAACTATGTACTTCTGTGTTAGGAAATGATTTCTGCGACCAATAATTCAAACCATTTAAGTAAGACAAAGATGGATTAACACATGGTGTATTGCCATTTAATAATGTTGAAGGCTGAGCAGACATAAATGGTAGTTCAAATGATGAACAATTTTATCATTTGAAGTAGTTTTATCAGCATCCCTACCAGATGAAGTATGTTTATTCGAAATAGATGACATGTTTTTTTACAACTTTGCTCAGTTTCTTCTAAAATGAAAGGAATTGAAACGGACACAGTGGTAAGTAAATTTATGAAAATCATGGTGGACTGAAGAGCTTACAAAGAAATACATTTCACTATTTACTAATTATAATATATTTCTATGTTTAGCTGGATGCATATATGTGCCTGGTCCTACGTTGTAGCTGACTGACTGACTGATGTTTAGCTGGAAGAATACTTTTCTAACAATTTAAACGTCTTATTTTCCTGGACGACTTTCAGCACTACTACTACTCTTACTTCTTATGCTAGATAACTGATGAAGTTTTATCGAATTAATTCTATATAAGCTCGTTTAAGACAGGTTCATTAGATTTAGAAAGATTTCCAGTTTGAACAGAATTAGAACTTAAAGTAGTTGAGCAAAATAGCCCGCCGATATTTAAAGTACGTCTTATTGACAAAACTGGTGTTGGTATTCTCGTATGTATAATCTGTCATGTGTTTTAGTAGCATATTTCGTTTTCTGGTATGTTTATATGAAACAATAACTTGACAGATCTATATTACGTGTGATTATATTCGTGTTCTTTTTTCTTTTGCTTTAGATAAGCACTATTTATCAAAACAGTGGCCAAGAAAGTATCATGTAACGTTTGTTTTTGCAATGTGATGCTCCTCTATATAAATTCTTGCTTTATAATCACAAAGATAATAGTTTGCGTGATGCACTGACCGAAGATCAAAACTAGATCCTGCAGGCCTGTCTCTGAGCCCTTAAACTTTAGAAAAGTGGGTCGAAATCCAATAATTTATATCAATCAATCTGCAATATTGTGTAATTACCATTCATCACTGTTTGATGATATTCGTCTCATGACTAACATTGATGAGCTAGACTAGTGACGTATTCTCACTAGAAATCTTGGAGCCACCTCTTGAAGTTAGTCTCTAGTAAGCAATATGGTAATGTTGTTATAGTGTGTTATGGAAGTAGTTGAACTTCATAGTGTACATCACCGTGATGCAAACTATGAATGATCACCAGACTATTTATCAGACACATAACTAAGGTGTGTGAGTAGGTAGATAAATATGCATATGCTTACATTTTACTAATGTTAACTTTGTCCAAACAAGTTATTGTGTTCTAATCCTATGTTGAAAAGTTATTAAATAAATCCACTCATGTACTTTTATGAACAGCACTGCTAGCCACATTCTATTAGTTCCATTGGTTCGTCTACTGATGTTGTTCATAAGGGCAGTGAAAAGTCCATAATCAGACCGTCCAGTCCAGAGACTACGACATCTCCCATACCCTTACCCTGAACCGATATTATCTATCATCTCATAGGTAACTTTAGTCAATGGTAGGATATTATGACCTATAAAATGATTATTCTTGAATATTTTAAGAAAATTATTCATGCATTTAAGGAGTATGTGAGGAAAATTTTTGACTGAACCACCACAATCTTAGTTGTACAAAGCCAATCAAGGTAAGCGTTCAACCTAGAACAAATCTACATCGATTAAAGTTGCCAGAACAATTGATCACTTAGAAATGAAATCGACTAGATGAATGGCTACGGAGTTGGAATAATGGTAACCTTGATGATCATATCATCCAAAAGACGTAAGAGAATAAAAGGTAAGAAGTTATATTAAGAGTGATAAGTCGACTATTCCATCATATATGATCAATACTTTGAAGAAAAAAATGGTTAAATACTAATTAACTGTGGATGTTCTATACTTTCAGAACCCAAGTTTCTCAGACAAAAATCATAGTTAAGTGGACTTTTGTACAGTAAACTAGGCAGATAATGAACAAGTGGATATCTTGCTTCTACTGTGGGTGGGTCAATTTCTCAGAATTCAAATGAGGTTTTCGAATCCACATCAAATTTTCTGCAAGTAATGACCGAACAGGGGCCATGAGATCCCTAAGATAAGTCAGATTTTCAACCAGTTTTAGTGCTAGGTTAGGATTGAACAAAGACCAATGTTAGAGTAACATTCTTTTACTGTTACTCAAGGTGTTCAGAAGACACAGCATTTTGTCAGTATTTTCACTCAAAAAAAGTATATCATCTAAACACAATCTAAATTAATAAGTGAATCTTCTGATAAAAATCGATCACCGAAAACTCGCAAGAAAAAAGGTTTATATATTTAAAATTATCACTATGATGGTAGTAAATGAAAATGGGGATAGTTGGGATCTTTGGTGATTAATGTGACCAGTTCGGAGCCTTAACTCAGAAAATATTGTTCTGGCGCTCAATATATTTATGTACTATTACGGTTAGCCTTTCGGTGAGATACGGCAATGAAATTTATTGAATAGAAGAGCAAAACGCAACATTAAGATCAAGAAACCCAATTCAAGTCTAAAGTCGGTAAGCATGGCTGTGTTTTAAGACATAATGAAGGGTATACATATATATGGCAGTTACTGAACAGAAAGTTTTTGAGAGTAATAAACACAAATGCTGTGGAATATTGGACAGTGAATTCATTAGTAAATCTTCTGATCTTCAGGAAAACCCAGGATACAGTGGAGCAATTAGATAGTCTCGTTGGTGCATTACTTTGACGATTTGTGTTCAAATCACTACTAATTATGATATTGGGCATATAATGTAGTCTTCGAAGTATTACTTTACATGGAAAGTAAGTTTTCTACAGGCTGTGTAAATAAGGGGCATAGTAACTTATATAATTTAATGAAATTACATGTTTAAATTCAAGCTGAGTTTTATTCTAGTTGATGTTTCCTTTTTAAAGACGCTACTCAACGTTCATGTAGAGTATCTGTGCTTCAAGATCCTATTGAAACTGAACATTAATTTTCAATTCACAATTCTTTCTACTCAAAGAGTATAAGAAGCACATCAAATCCTATCCTTCAAGGTATAGGATTCTAATTACAATTAATAATTATCACTTTAAACATGGAAAGATTTATTACCTACTATATTCTTACCCATTCAGCAACTGGTTCAACTGCAAACCTACTTACTTTAGTTTAAACAAACAAGTAGTATTACTAGTCATCACTTAAGTACCTGAGTACAAAGTTTTGGGAATCGGTAACTGAGTTAAGCTGATCAAGACTTAGGTTATGAATACGGACAACTAATTTTTGCGCTATTTCCTAACAGAAAACTTACTTATATAATTCAGTCAGAAAAGAAAGGGGTTAGGACAGAGTAATTACAGAACCTACATTTGTTAGTTATAGCAATTTAATCCTATGATATTGTCAAATTCTACCCATTTTAATTGATTCAAATTTGAAAAATAATCCGAGTAAATAAGACAATGAATGTAAAAGTACTGGAATATAATCTGTGTTAATTTGTCATCTTTGACTTCTCCTTCTCATTGAGCAGTAGAAAACAGTTCACAGTAAACTATGCATATGTTTAAATTAAAGATAAATCTATATTCTAAGATGTAATGAACGAAAAGGGATGACTTCTGATACATTATAAATAATTCATTTGTTAGGGTTTAAACCTTTTCATTGTTGTTGCTAAAGACTGAAATCAATTAATCATTTATGGGATCGAATTCCCGAAAAGATATCACCAATGAGATGAAGGTGTATTTAGCTGACGAGTACGAACTCGAACAAATACAACTCCTAGATTTCACTGTTACCATGCTTTGAATAGCTATGCCAAAGAATGTTTACATCTAGAATAGTATGATACCAACCAAATTATCATAATTGATTAACTTTCAGATCTATTAAATTTCTTTAACTTCATTTGTTTATTGAACGTGAATAACACAGATTTTATTCTTTTGTTGTTGTTGTTGTTGTTGTTGTTATACACTGATCTTTTTTATTACTGTATACGTTAGAAAATGTAAATTGTTATGATAAACATATAAACAATCAAGTTATCTCTTAATGTAATTAACTATTATACATATTTACTTAAGCTTATGATATGTACATCGGTGTATCTAATTTTGTTGTCCATTCTATTAACAGAAAATAAATCAATAAAGCATCGAATTAATCCGCTTCTTAACGAATACATTTAATAGAAGAAATCTAAAGGGACACTATATTACTATAAATGAATATACTTTAATTTGTATACCAGCTTGTTTTACAGAATAAATCATTAAAACTAGTAAATATGTAAACTAGGACTCACAAAAAGTTAATTTTGTAAAAATACACTGATTAAAAATTATTTTATGAAGGTATAAGTTGATAACATTTGGATGGAGTTTTGTTCTCTAAGTTGGAAGGTTTGGTCGTGAAGTATTCATTGTTCTTTTGAACGACATCATCAACACAAACTTCTGGATTCGATTGCTGTATTCGGGGACGTGGATTCGCACTGTGAAGAAGTCTTGTACTTCAATGGAACAGCCCTCCAGTGCTTTCACGTTTCCAGTGTTAGTCTAACATCAATCGGTTTATAATTTCAATGAAACCATTGCTACAACCTCATACTGACAATTACTCGGTTTAGTGTGAGATAAAGGGATTTAGACGTATTTATTTATGGAATTTGTCGTCAGAAAGGCATTCTATAATCCTTAACCAGATCCATGACATTTATTGTAAAGTTGTTCTGGAGGAGTCGATTTTTAGAGTATAATCGAAGTAGGATATATTAATGGCTGATCTAAAGGATCAGTAGAGTTACCCGCTGATGACACTGGATGACTGTTAATCTATACTGGAAATCCATTGGAGTTAGAAAATGAAGAGCATTAAATCTCAGCTCAGTGGTCTAACAATACTAGATTCGTGTTCAGAACTGGAAATCTCTTAATCGATGTTTGACAAGCTTTTAAGCACAGACTACTGGAGAGTCCTATGCAAGGATGAAAAAGCTAATAAACACTGCCTGATTTCTAATCGGTTCTTGACTTAAATTGATCC